ATCTCAAGAGTAAATTCAGATCACTTAAAGGCAAAGAAAGTCCACACAATCTGTTATCAAAAATGGCATTCCAAGAAAACTTTGTTCTCTTACCAGAAAGAAAATCAAACCCAAGTCTTACTTTAGCTTACTCCCAACAGAATCCATTTACCCAACTAATTCAATCCAGTCTTAGAAAATCCTGATCCAGAGAACTCTTTTCAGTATTTTTTCACAGGCAGGGTCTTGTCCCCCGCTGCCCACCCCCACCTCTCGTTCAGTTCACTTTGTCCAAAAGCTGCAGCCCCATGATGTCCACACTGGGCAGTACATGAGCTGGTGAGCTGAGTTCTCTATGCCCTCGCTGCCCTTGCTGGCCAGCTGTCCTGCTTCCCTGGCCAACAAGGCCTGCATGTGTGAAGTCTCTCTTGATCACCTGAATCAGGAGGAGAACAAGCTGCCTAGAAGCCCTAGGTCCCTGTAGTCAGCCTGCTCCTATTGTGTTTATTGCAGGCTATGTGAATTGTGCCTCTCTGTGTAAATGTCTCCTCTCTGCTCAGTTGTAAACTCCTTGAGGGCACTGCTATGACAGTGGTGCCTGTATCATTTGGGTATTCAGTAAAGTTTGTGGAACGAGAAAAGCCTGGATGTCCCTGTGAGGCAGTGAAGAGAAGGTACATGTTTGCTCTCCTGTCTGTTTGGTGTTTAGTGAGTGTTCTAGTAGGGCTTCCCAGGTGACTTAGTGGTAAAGAACCCGCCTGCGGATGCAGGAGACTCAGGAGACGTGGATTCAACTCCTGGTTTGGAAAGATCCCCTGGAGTAGGAAATGGTAACCCAATCCAGTATTCTTGCCTGGAGAATTCCATGAACAGAGGACCCTGGCGGGCCTCAGTCCATGGGGTCACAAAGAGACACGACTGAGCAACACAGACATATGCTTGACATGAGTGTTCTAATTCAGAGCTGGTGTGGTGTTGTGATTATTGGATTACATTCTGCTCAACTCACCACTCTAATCTTGGACAGCCTGGATTGGAGTTTCTGTGTTTGAAAAGGTCCTCAAAATTCAATGCAGAGAAGAGTGAAATAGGTGCTTATTAAAATTGCAAATGCCTGAGCTCTGCCCTCTGAGACTTGTCAGGCTGCAGGACTGAGCCTTTACATCCACTCCCCTGCCCCACTAACCAGCCCCATGGTCCAGGCCACACATGAGGACCACTGAACAAGGTGACTTCCGTGTTGTCTCCAGCTCTGTTTTAAAGGACACTTAGATAGGATGGACAGCTCTGTGACCTTACTTTCTATCATCGTGTGTTTAATTTCCTTTCCCTTTTGTGAGTTGGGTGCAGTCACAAGCACAGATGATGAGCATGTGTCTCATTTAGTAGAAAAGGCATGTTTTCAGATCCTCTGCAAGGAGGGAGCAGTCATTAGCGTGGCTGTTGCAGCAAGGAAACCCCATGTGGCTTTTGGCCTAAAGGCTTTTTCCTGAAAATGTTACCTTTTAAGAGTTTCCATATTTATCATCTGTTCACTTTATTAACACATTACAGCAAGTCCCCTACCTATGAACCTTCAAGTTGTGAGCTTTTGAAGATGCCAACGTGCCTTGCATCAATGTCAGATGTGAATGAAACTGCAGCTTGCCCTCTGTCACGTGTTGCTGACAACCCTTCAGCTCTATCTCCTACCTCCTGTCCCTCCTCCAGTCAGTAACTCTTCTTGCCTGTTCGCTCAGTGCCAGCCCCTGTGTGCCGGCTGTTGTACTGTACTCCTATACTTTTCAAGGTATTGTACTGTAGGGTTAAAAATGTTTTATTTTTTGTGTTTGTTTCTTTATTATATATTAGTTTTGTGCAAAGTATTATAAGCCTATTACAGTATAGTACTATGTAGCCGATTATGTTAGTTGGGTACCTAGACTAACTTTGTTGGACTTAGGATGATTGCGCTCTTGGAATGGAACTCATTCATGTATAGGGGACTTTCCAAATATAACCATGGACCATGGTTTTAATAATTTCACCCCCAAACATATGAGGCAATCAAGCTCCATGTATATTTTGTCTTGTCCTTCATTTCATTGAGCTGTAAATGTTTGATGAATAGAATATATGCACAAATTCTAAAAGATTTATATAGCCACCGTTCTTTAAAATGCAATTCTTTCATCATTAGGTTTTTTCCTCTGGAAAAGAAAGGAAGAAAAAGCCTTATCCTTATACTTAGAGGCAAAAATGAAACCCTTTCTCAAAGTACCTCTTTTTCTTCTGTGTTACGTGGTCACTGTATTAAATGGCAATGATGGAATAAATGATGTCAGGATTAAAAGGGAAAACCCCACTGTTTTACCACTGAAAATTTGTGTGTGGGGGCTTGTAAGGAGATGCGTTGCTGCAAGAAATGTGTGAGATTGTTATGTCATCTTACGCCTCAGTCATGATGCACAAGTCGTCCTGGACTGAGGAAAAAATAGAGGTTGTTTAGTAATATGAACAGTTCAGCGTGACAGAGAACACAGAGGCACGGTCTGCATTCCCCGCATTCTCGGGCATTGTGCACAAGCCGCCCCAAGCCCCGCCCTGAGAGTTGCCTTTGCAGGCTGTCCAGGGCGGCAGGAAGTGGACCCAGTGTTCTCTTAAGTCCTCAGGCAAGCCCACCACTTGAAAGAGATGTTTTTTTCTTTTATTAGAGTCCAAGTTGAATTTCTTTGACATTAGTCAGAGGAAGCAGGTAGACTTCCAGTGGGCTATAGACTATATTCCACATGCTGGTGTGTCTACATCTTAGCATTGGAAGCAGATTTACCAGACTGTCTTCCCCAGCGGGAGCAGGAGTCCTGGAACTCAAGGAGAGGCATGTCTTTTCATTAATTACATCAGTTCTTTCAGAACCATTTTGAAAGCGTTTGAGTGCCTTAGTCATGTGAGCACTCCTCCCACTGAAGCCCTAGGAGTGGCAGCATCAGAAAGCTGAAAGAAGCCCCAGACAGCAGTCAGGAGGCATTCCACAGTGATGACGTCGCCACTGGGCAAGGAGGTTGGTCAGATCTTGGGTCTGTTTGCTTTTCCTAGTGACTCAAAATCCCTCCACCAGATTGATCCAACAGGTTTCCTTGTGGTTGGTGTTTTGACCTTTATCGGTCACATGAATTGTACCCGTGATTATGAATGTGGGGAGGGTGGTTAGGTGGGGTGGGGGGTGGGGCAGGGGCAGAACTTTGTGTATGGTTGCTCTTCAGCTTTAATCCATCACCTAAATCTCTTGGGGATTTTGTATTTAACCCCAGTTACAACTTTAACAGTGGTCCCCCTCCCATCCTCTGTGCCTGATGACCACGTGCCTCCTGGTCACTGTGTGGCCCCTTTCCTGCAGCCTGTTGAGTGAATTGTTGCCTAATGATTTAGGATGAACGTCACAAAGTCATCTTGGAAAGGTTCTCCAGGTTTGACCAGGAAGTCTTTTCTTGCTAATGCTGGGAATGGGGGCCTGAGAGTCATGTCATGTTCAAGGTCTGTGCTGTGATGTATCTGTGAGTCCGCTGACACCTCTTTCCCCTCCCCCAAACCACAACACAGACAGGCAGAGCACATGGTGGCACTTGGCCCGATGCAAGGGCTCAGTTCCTTGGTCTTGTTGGTCGGCGCTCTGGAGCAGCTTCAGGCCGGCTTGGGCTGAGGCAAGGGCGTCAGACTTTACTGTCCAGAAACGCTTTTTAAATCTCACTGATTTATCTGGGAATTACTGATAAATACCCAAAGCTTCCTGAATAGGGGCAAAAGCTTTGCAAGGTGTGGGTCAACTCTGCATCTGCTCTCACGACAGGAGATGAACTCTGGCTGGATAAAGCCTTTCTAGATGAGATGCTGTGTCTATCGGTTTGTGTCACTGCAGGTGAGCAGAGAAGGAAACCAAGCAGAAAATCAGTTGCTTGTCCTTGGTTCAGCAGTGATGCTGGAAAGATGTGAGCGCAGGTAATGAAGCTCTAAAGCTTTATCTCCTTACCCACTGCATTGGACTACCTGGCTGCAAAGGATGCAACAGACTGTGGACAAGGTCATTGCTGTTTTTATTATTACAACTATTATTATTGCTTTGTTATTAGCGACAAAAACCCCTGAATGTACATACACATGGAGAAATGATTGAATCAGCTGTTGCAGTTAATTGCACCAAGAAAGAAATATTTGAGAATGTGGTGGAGACAAAAGCAATAAATGTAGTAAAAGCTTGTGTAATTTTGAAATTGACTGTGTATTAATGAGGCACAATTGTTTTCTTAAAGCAATACTCAGCGTATTTCAGCATAGTTCTGTAGTAAAAGCTTGTGTAATTTTGAAATTGACTCTATTAATGAGGCACAATTGTTTTCTTAAAGCAATACTCAGCGTATTTCAGCATAGTTCTGTAGTAAAAGCTTGTGTAATTTTGAAATTGACTCTATTAATGAGGCACAATTGTTTTCTTAAAGCAGTACTCAACATGTTTCAGAATAGCTAACAAGATGAAAGTGTTTGTGATACAGGAGCTGACTTTGTCACTTGGTCCAGATCACGTGTGGACATCAGGGTCCTGTCCCTGAAATACCAGCAGGTCAGAGGATTGGGGTTAATGCTGATGACCAGATGGCTTTGCCCAGAGACACATTTCCTAGAACACCAAGATTTAGGTTTAAACCACTGAAAATTGATTGGCCTAATTAAATCATTAATATAGCATTAGAAATCTGTGGGTGTGCACTCAGTAACTCTGTCATGTCTGACTCTTTGTGACCCCGTTGACTGTAGCCCACCAGGCTCCTCTGTCCATGAGGTTCTCCAGGCAAGAATACTGGATAGTGGGTTGCCATTTCCTTCTCCAGGGCATCTTCTTGACCAGAGATCAAACCCATGTCTCCAGTGTCTCCTGCATTGTCAGGCAGATCCTTTACCACCGAGACACCTGGGAAGCCCATGAGAAATACACACCTAAGGAAAATATTCAAGAGAGGAAAAAAGGTGGTGGAGAATCTGGCCGCAGTATGTTGGCCCTAGGGGAGGCGGTGAGTCCTGGAGACACCTTGGTGGTGGAGGTGGGTGGGGGGGTGCAGCATGAGAGCTGGAGGGGACACAGATCAGTCTCAAGGCTTATCTTCTCACCTTTCTGAGATGCTGCTTACCCACTAACATGGTATTTGTTGTTCTCTTTATCCTGCTGTAGGAATGTGTAGGGGAGAGGGTGCTGGGGAGGCCAGGGCACTAGTCAATGTGCAGGTCACTTGCTCTGGTGCGTGCACGAACCCCCGGCCAACCCTCCTCCCACACCAGTTTCCCTGCTGGCCCAGGCAAAACGGGAATGTTGTGCAAACAAATGCAGAAACGGAGACATACAAAAGGGAGACTGTTTTTCATTTCAGCCACTGACGTGCGTGATCAGAAATCACTCATGCTGTGGACTCTGTAATTGTGGGGACCTTTCAGAAGATGCCTGCAGAGACTTCCTCTAAGTGCTCGAGATTCCACTGTAAGGACAGGTGGTGGTTGTAGACTCAACTGTGACCCATTGTTTGAGATGAGAGTGTATCAGAACCATCTGATATAGAGCAAAGGACTCATCTGAGCCGCCATCTCAACTCCTTCCAGGAATTCGTGGCTCTGGGCAAGTCCTTGCTGCCCGTGGAGATCAAGTCAGTTTACATTGCTCTCAATAAGTCACAATTAACTGGCTCTTAAGAAACCCTACTTTTAGGGAAAACAGGCAAATTTTAATTTAAAAAATGAAAGGATTTGTTTTTAAAAGAAGTGATCTTCCAGTTTTATGTCTTGGAGTCAAATGTGAAGTCAAATCCTCTAAAATCTTCTGTGCCTGTTCATTGCTTTACATGAAACAGTAAAAACAGTGAACCGCAATGAAGGGAAGGCCCTGAACTAGGTAAGATCAGGGCTAAGTGTGCCACACTGAAGCAGAAGGGGAGTGGATGTACTGTACAGGAAAGCAGCAGAAGGAAGGGGTGAGTGAGGTAACCTGAATGAGCCGAAACTCCTGCTTTGTGAGTACACTGGCTCCTTGGGCCTCTCATGTGTTTCTGTCCTCATAAATGTGTGGGCTCTGCCCCTAGTAGGGTCCTGACCCCACAGAGCAGGTATGAGGGGTTCTCACATTTGTATCCACGGGTACGCTGGGTATCAGGATTGTGCTCAGTTCTCTGGAGGCCCAGTTCCCCTGGGCCACGCACCTACTGGGCCAGAGTGGAAGGTTGGCTTCAGGTCCACAGTGGTTGCCGGACTTAGACATGGTACTCCTTGCCCCTTGTGAGGGTCTTCGAGTGCCTGATGGGTGGGCACTTTGGGGGGCGTCCACTTTAAGGAAGAGTTTCTTTTGTAACAAATCCCTTCAGTTGGGACAAGGTTTTGTGCTGCAGCCCCAGCAAGGAATAGATAGCAGTGAATGCTGCTTTCTACCAAGAAAGGGATTGGAAATCCAGCTCCCTTTAATGTTGTTCTCATGGGTGTATTTGCTTTTTGTGATCGTGAAATGGTCCTACTTTATACATAGGCATGTCAGAATCAAGTAGGTAGTACTTTTGTATGATGTTTGTGTGTGTGTATGTAATATATACACACATTGTTAGAAGCAGCAAGCATATTAATAGCTGTAATACTGGTGAAAAGTGTTAGCTGCTCAGTTGTGTCTGACTCTTTGTGACCCCATGGACTGTAGCCCACCCTCTATGCATCAGATTCTCCATACTGACATGAGTTGCCATTTCTGGTACAGCAGCTCGAGCAGTCATGTTTAAAAGCCATTCCTCATTTAATAAGGAGCTGAATTGGACTTTTTGCCTCAAAAGCCCAGTGATCAGGTTTGCCAACAAATAAGAATGCTTAATTCTACATTTGTTGAAAAGGATGACTTTACTAGTTTTTACTGGTTTTAGAAAATTTCATTAACTTGGATTTTGAGAGATTGGCTATTCCTGGCTCATTGTAACGCCATTCTGTCAGCTCAGAAAGAGCATAGACAACAATTTGCTGAGGTTTCTCCTCTTTCATAATTGGGTACATTCCTGCCATGCCCCAGCATTGTCTCTGGCTGCTGCAGGCTGTGTCAGGGCTGCCGACAATTGCGCCCCGTGACTGGGGCATGCTGGTGGGGTCGCCCTCCTCCCCCTACTGCTCTTCGAGCAGCTTCCAGTGAGCTGAGGGCCTGATTGGTTCCGACAGCACGGAATGGAGACTTCGCTGGGCCCTGCGACCCCATCGCTGACACAAGGCCCACCGTCATCCTGCAGGCCATTCTCACCCATCACCCTCCTTCTCAGAGAGGAGCCAGGTTGCAGGCCCCATGTGGCCTCAGAACAGGCCCTTCTTGTTTTATTCATGTGGCTGCACCCCCTCGCTGTCACTGCTGTGATGGTGGTGACACTGAGATGGGGACTCGAGGAGAGCGTGGCCTGTCATCCCTGTCTGTGCACTAAGCTTCGTGACCAGGATCCCCCTACGGGTGTCACATTTTGGGGGAGAGGAGGAGGTGGGCCGGGGAAAGCTGCCCTCTTTCTCTCCCTTGTTTTGTTCAGATGTGGACTTTGAGCCTCAGGGGTGGGAGCTCGTCCAGTGCTGTGCTATGTGCAGCACTGATACATTTCTGTTCTCAGCAAAACATTCTCTGATGATCAGCAGTTGCATTTATAGTACAGGCTTTCTAGGTTTATCTGGAGCAGCATACCTTTGTGGTCCATCTCCTAGGAAGTGGCCAGGGTCTCGCTGGCAGGTGGAGTCACCTTCACACCCTGCTGAGAGAAAGGGAGAACCGAGCTTGATATCTGCTCCATGAGAACATGGAAGCATGACACTGAAGAAACACACCAAGTATGGCAAATGTTGTTGTTCACTAAGTCGTGTCTGACTCTTTGCGATTCCATGGACTGCAGCATGCCAGGCGTCCCTGTCCTTCACTATCTCCAAGAGTTTGCTCACACTCATGTCCATTGTGACATCTAACCAACCATCTCATCCTCTGTTGTCGTCCCCCTTCTCCTCCGCCCTCCGTCTTTCCTAACATCAGGGTCTTTTCCAGTAGTTGGATCTTCATGTCAGGTGGCCAGAGCATTGGAGCTTCAGCTTCAGCATCAGTCCTTCCAATGAATATTCAGGGTTGATTTCCTTTAGGATTGACTGGTTTGTTTCCTTGCTGTCCATGGGACTAGCAAACATTGCCTTCATCATAAGTGAACAGTCTTCTATGTTCTATGTCTCTAATTTGATTTATTAGATTCTTTGTCTCTAATTTGATTCATTAGATTCTTTACCAGCTGAGCTACCAGGGAAGCCCAATTTGATTCGTGAGAGGGGCCAACTCCCCACGCGGAGTGGTTTGCTCTCACACAGAATGGGTAGTGGCCACTGAGCCTGGGAGCGGGATCTACCGGTTTGACCCTCCCCCAGGTGTTTCTAGCTTCTAAATTAGGTTTTAACATCAAATGATGTCTCCTTTGAATCTGGGAACCACGAATATCCGCAATTAATGTTTTAAGCCTGAAAGACCGAGAAAATGTCACGCATGTGTTTAATATCATTGGCAAAAACACAGTGAGTTGGTCTGTTTGTAAAAGAAATTCCTTTGCCGAATAGACATGAAAAGAAAAGCTCAGAGCTGCTGGAAGTTCCTGGGCTTGGGGCCTTGCCCCTCCCCGCCAGGGCCCCCAGTATGTGTGCCTGTGGCTTCATGGGCACCTGCTCCAGCTTTCTTCCAGGCCCCACATGTCCTGTGAGGCCCATTTCAGTTTGACTCTGAGCGGCAGGAGTGACTTGGCTCAGGAACTGGGGGACTCAAGTGCTTGTGGAGGGTGAGATACCCCTAAAACCTGACCCAAAGTACGCACTTTCTCCAGGGTCTGAAGCGTGTTTTGGTTACTCTGTCCTTGAATTGTGCTTTGTTTTTTCTGTCCTAGTCTGTGCTTTCATCTTTGTTTTCTATTTTATTTTATTTTTTTTTTAATAAAAAGTTTTATTGGAGAAAAATAGAACCACCACGTACACAGGGAAAAGAGCACAAAAATTCAACTGATACAGAACTGAAAGTCACAACTACCCAATGTTGTTTTCGATTACTTTTCAATTTCTTAAATGGCTTCCATCAATTTTTTAAATAGCCTTGCCAATTTTCAGCTGAAATAGAATCAAGTTTTCAAAAAATTAAGAGCCTCAGCGAAGGGACCAGCTTTTAAGATAACAAAGGTGACACCAAGAGTCTCCTAATAGGACCAATTCTACCGAAAAATTCTTGAAGCACATAACTACTGAGTCTGGTAGAACAGTAGCTCAGAGACCATCAGGGATTAGTTAGAATACTGACGCAGACGGTCCAGTATGCAGAGAGGGCAAACAAAAAAACTGCATTTCCCTGTCAGATGAGTCCACGTAAGAAAACCAAGGAGGTGCTAAGAAAATACAGGCAATGGCTGCTCAAAATAATTAAGAAGGCATTCTAAATACCACATGTTATTAGACAACAGTGTGTAAAGTGATGCAATTAGAAAACAGGCAACTTAAAATATGGTCACAGGTCTTTGAGAACTCAAGAAAACAATCAATAGCGAACACAAGAGCTGAAAGTCTTCTCAGCTGAGGGTTGAAAGTGAGAGTGAAGTCGCTCAGTCATACCCACCTCTGTGCGACCCCGTGTCCTGTAGCCCAGCAGGCTCCTCCGTCCCTGGGGTTCTCCAGGCAAGAGCACTGGAGTGGGCTGCCGTGTCCTCTCCACTGGCTTCGTCTTTGAGACCGCCCCCGCCCCGGCGCATCTCCTGGTTCTTCCGCTCCCTCGCTCGTGTCTGCCTTGGCTTCTCTTGGGCTTCCTGGAATGTTGGGGCTCCCTGGGGTCTTGGTCCTTTTCTCCTTCTTTTGGTGCTCTCTGGATCTTCATCCTAGTCTCTATTACTGTTGTTTCTGATTCACTTAACTTTTTAGAAAAGTAACCTTTTTCATTTTGGAATTTTTAGATTCACAGAAAAGTTGAAATGGTACTGTGAAGAGAATCCCCAAATAACCTTTACTCAGTTTCCCTGGGTCGGGAAGGTCCCCTGGAGAAAGACATGGCAACCCGCTCCAGTGTTCTTGCCTGGAGAATCCCATGGACGGAGGAGCCTGCTGGGCTACAGTCCATGGGGCCACAGAGTCGGACACGACCGAGGGACTTTCTTTTACTTTCAGTCTCCCTAGTGCTGCATCTTGTGTCTCCACAGCATGTGTCTGAACTAATCCAGGCCATGTCTGTCTCCAGAGAACGGCAGGCTGCACGGCTCAGACAGCAGACACTTGCTTCTCCTGCTTCTGGAAGCTGGAAATCTGAGCCTGAGCAGGGTGACAGCTTTGTTGCAGTCTTAGTGAGGGCCTTCCTACTGGTGTGTGCCGTCACACGGCCTCTCGGACCTGGTGTCTGCTCCTGGTGCTGTCACGGCACTGACGCGTCACGGCAGCCCCACCCTCAGCGCTGCGTCTGACCCACGTTACCCCCAGATAGCATCACATTGGGCTTTAGGGCTTCAGCATGTGGATTTGAGGGGGCTGTCGGGGGCAGACTTTCAGTCTGCAGCAGCGCGTGTGTTAGCAGTGGGAAAGCACCGCTGCCGCATCGCTGTGAACAAAACCAGAGCCCCAGTCCTTCTGTAGTGCCCCTTCTCCTCTCCAGGGTCCAGTCCAGGGTTTCACACTCTGTGTGGGGCTAAGGGTTGTTTACTGTCTCTATAGTTCTAGGTGTGATCACTACGCAATCTGTATGCTGTTGAGATCCGCGTTTATGTCTCCCGTCTGAGCCGCATCCCGTCTGTTAGAATAGTTTGTGCATTGCACCAGCAGACCTGCACTTACTCTGTCTTAGCTTGGGCTGCCATGCAAAATACCGTGGACTAGGTGGCTTAAACCAGAGGCCATGAGTTTTGTCGTAGGTCTGGAAGTGGGGAGTCAGAGATGAGGGTGCCAGCAGGCCTGGTTTCTGGGGAGGACTCGTCCCTGCTTTCAGACAGCTGCCCTCTCACACCGTGGGGTGGGGGCGCGGTGCGGGGGGAGCTCGCTCTGGTGTCTCAGGGCCTCAGCCTTGTGATGTTCCTAACCGGTTCCCTTCCAGAGCCCCGTCTCCAGATGCCGTCGCCTGGGGTTGTGGCTTTGGCATGATTTGGGGCCCGGTTAGTCCAAAGTGCCCTGTTTCATTAGACTTGCTGTACTTCTTTCTTGCATCTCTAAATCAGGAGCAGCTGATGTTTTGATTTATTTATTTATTTATTTATTTATTTTTGAAAAGAAATGGTTTTTATTGCTTTACAACAAGCCAGCGGCAGACACAACACAATAATCACACACAACACTTGATGCCCCCAAATGGTGTATGAAACCAGAATGTGCTCCTCCACTTAACATCTGTTTGTGAAAACTGAAATCCAAAACTTCTCCCAAGAACTTGACTATTCCCAAGCAGAATCAATACTTAAAGAAGCAAAGAAAACTACTATCAAACTTACTGCACATGTCTGATCACATAATTCAGAACCTTTTACACTCAATCCAAGCAGTGCTGTTACTGAACATTTTAGATGACCTGATGTTTTGATTTAAAAGACACTCCTGTAGGCTGCTGTGGGAATAAGAATAGTTGATTCACCTGGAAAACGAGGTAACACTGAGTAGCGGAAAGCTGCTCTCTCAGATCAGAGCCGTTTAAACACAGTGTTTTGGAAACGTGTCTGACTTGAGCAGAGACGCAGTGAGCGCCCGCCTCCCCGCTCGGGGTGCTCCTGCCCGGTCCTGCCCCTCTTCGCGCTGCCGGTGCCTCGCCAGCCCGAGGGGTCTTCTGTGGGGGCCCGGAGCCTCGGGAGGCTGAGCGGGGTGCCGTGTCCCCTCTCCTGCAGCCCAGAGTCCACGTCCGCTCCTGATCTCTGCAGAGTCCTTGGTGGCGCTTCCCACTCATCCAGGATCCCGCTCAGGACCACACTGCACATGGTGGTCATGCCCCTTCAGTCATCTTTCATCTGGGACAGGTCCTTTCACAGGGAGAAGAAAGTCTGTCTTTGTCTTCCACGACATTGGTATTCTTGAACAGTACAGGCCAGTTATGTCACGAGTTGTCCCTCCGTTTGGATTTGTCTCGTGTTTCCTCATGAGTGTACTGGGATCTTGCATCCTAAACGGGCGTGTTGGAAAAGTGGTGTGTGCCTCTCGGTGTCCTCTCCAGCGGAGCCTGGTGTCCGTCTGTGTCAGGATGACGCCGAGTTCTCACCGGGTTGAGCTGCTGTCTGTCCACCCCGTCGTCTGATCACTGTCTCTACTTGTGGGCTCATCTCGGGGGGACACAGCCACAGGCTGTCGCACTGCTCTTGGGGGTCCCGTGTGGTGCTGGGTGGGGAGGGGATGTCCACCCCGCCAGTCCCACAGTCCTCGGAGATTGGCCAGTTAATTACTTCCTTCCAAGCACGGTGAGAAAGTGTTCCCTGCTCCTTGCGCTTCCTGGGGCCCGGGTGGCGGCTCAGGCTCAGAGGCGCTTTCGTGGCTGTTTGCGGCTCCAGCCTGCACAGGTACTTTGAGTTCAGACCAGCAGGCGTTCCACTCACTGCTCCTTCCTAAACCGATGGATAAAGCAAATTGTGGCTAATCCTAGATTTGATCTGGAAAGGGAACTGTCTTTTCTATTTTTAATTAAAATGAAATTTATGTCAGATATCCAGTGCAGCTTTTATAATATTTGTGAAACTAATACTGTCCTGGGTTGGTTTCATAGGAGGACAAAGATGCTGATTCCACCAAGGAACCTTTGGATGACCTCTTCCCAAATGATGACGATGAACCGGGTCAAGGAAGTGAGTTGGGGGTGGCGTGTGAGCGGCGGCCGGTGGGTGGGAGGTGGCCTCTCCTCTTGGGGGTAGTTGCTGTTATTGGTGGGTGCTGGCGTGCTTGCAGCCCACCTCGCGAGAGCGTGAACATACACACAGACTGCCTCGCAGGTCGCCTTCTCTGAGATAGAGTCCCGTGTTCAGCGGGCCCCTCTAAAGGGTGTGCACCACCAGTTCCCCCGCGGTCTGGGTTCTCAGCGCGCAGAGGAGGGGGGTCCTCCTGGGGCCGCGGCAGCCTGGCTGTGCGGTGGGGTGGGCGGCACCCCCTCGCCCGCCACGCCAGGCTGGGGGAGGACGCGTGGTTGCGGTGCCCCGCCGGCCTCCCGAGTCTGAACTGGCCTCTCCCCGCAGTCCAGCAGCAGCACAGTAGTGCGGCGGCGGCCGCGCAGCAGGGCGGCTACGAGATCCCCGCGCGGCTGCGCACCCTGCACAACCTGGTCATCCAGTACGCCTCGCAGGGCCGCTACGAGGTGGCCGTGCCCCTCTGCAAGCAGGCCCTGGAGGACCTGGAGAAGACCTCGGGCCACGACCACCCCGACGTGGCCACCATGCTGAACATCCTGGCCTTGGTGTACAGGCGAGTGCTCTCGTTCTCTTCTCTTCACCTCGATGACGTTTTTAATGAACTTGCCCCAAGAATGTGTTTTTATAAACTGCAGTGAGCTGCTCCTCCAGCCTTACCATCCATTTGTCTTCAGAACAGCCAGGGGTTCAGTTCAGAACACGGAGCCGCCCTCTGGCAGGAGCATCACCCTGTAGAGTGGACGCTGCCTGGAACGCCCAGGCCGGCCGCCTTCCCTCAGGCTGTACTAGACTGTTGGCACTACTTGGTGTACCAGGCTCCCTGTGCCCAGAATAGCCCCCCGCTCCTCCTGCTGTCTCCCTGCCTCTCTCATAGCTCCTGCTCTGTGCTTGGCATGCTTGTTTGAATTTTGTCATCTCTTCTGGAATCCTGATTGCTTGAGGTTGAGGACCAGGTTGTCCCGTCTCTGCCTTGAGTTACATCCTTGAGCATGTTTCCTAACTCAGAAACTCTTGATGAACTTACTGAATGGAGTTGAGTAGTTTGCCTGTGGCCTGGGGCAGCGGTCCACCAGAGCCCTTTGCTGAGCTGAGCTGAAATGGAGCAGGCTGGATGAGTGGGGACCTAAGCAGGGGCCGTCACTCCCAGGACAGGACTGGTTTGCCGCGGCCGCTCTGGCATGGTGGGTTTCAGGGAGCTGCATCTTGTTTCTTCACTAGCTTGATTGTTTACAGCTCAGCAGACATTTTTGAGACCCAAATGTATGTAAAATTTTGGGCTGGTTCCTGTGAGGCTGTGCAGATGAACACATAACACCTGTTCTCAAGGAGAAACCAGGATACTGAATTGGAAGTCAGGAGAAGTCAGTTTGTATCTCTGCTAAGTGGCCACTAGACTGAAGGTGTTGTCCGGAGCCCTTAGGTTTTCTGAGCCTCAGAAGGGTTGCAGGGGTTGTTAAATGGGACGTTATGTGGCAGTGTGAAATAGATAGCATCACCTAAATGTATCTAAAGGAACTTAGAACCTTGTTTAGAGAATAGGCTGGTTATGTTCATGTGTAGTTATAGAAGCGAGGAGACTGTCGTTAATAAAATAACACGGATGTCGGGATTCCACGGCAGTCCAGTGTTTAGTTCTCAGTGCTTTCAATGCCAGGGCCCAAGTTCAATCCTTGGTTGGGAAACTAAAATCTCGCAAGCCTTGCAGCATGTCCAATAAATAATAAAATCACACAGAAGTGTTGATGGAATGGAGAGATGCCTTCTAGTTGACAGGATTAGGGGAGGCCTAGTTGGAGGGGTGCGAGTGGTTTCTGGGACCTTGCAGGATGTGTTGGGGCCTTACTCCTGCTTCCCACGGGGCAGAGCAGTGGCAGTGTGGTGGGAGGAGGTGATGGAGCTGCAGGGCATGTGCTGAAACATGGCTGTGCCCAGCGGCCGGGTCTCAGAGGAGAGTTGTGGGGGAGTGGAGCTCAGAGCGGGCCGGGGGCCGGGCTGCAGGGTGTGCTGGGGCTGGAGCTGGGCACCTGAGCGGGGCGCAGACAGGAGCCAGAGGGTCTGTGAAGAGACAGCAGTGAACCATTGAGAGAGAGAGTGTTTCTGGCTCATCCTAGGTATTTTTATTGTGAATGAGTTAGGTGAAAAACGCATGTAGAACGTGACTGGGATTCGTTGTACGCAGAATGCATGGTCACATAGATGTGCTAGGAATTCGATGGCCTCTCCTCTTTTTTTCTTGGTACTGTGAGAGTTTACTCATGTCAGCAAAATGTTTGGAAACAGCAGCTGTGTCTCTGTTCATATTGTATTCAATACTGAGTCCTAAAGCTGAACCGTAACTCACTATTTCAGCTTTCTTCTATTAAGAGACATCTAATTTTAAGCTTTTTGGGGGAGGGGTATTAATATTATACTGATGAACATCTTTTGCTCAAGTTTTGCACAAAAGATTTTGAATTTTTTTCAGTGTCAATTCCTGAGCGGTACGAGTCTATACCTTACACGCTTCTTGATACAGATTGCCCAGGTGCTCAGGAAGGTGGCGCCAGCCTAGGGCGGGGCTGGTCATCTCCTGCTCTTTATTACAGAGACAGACAGCTTTGTGTGTTAATCTGTGTTCTGCGATTCATGTTTTTAGTCATTTGGGCCTTCTGTGAAAGTTCTATGATCTTGCCCACTTCTGTATTGGGATTTATTTTAATGCTGGCAAGGTGTGCATTGGTTTTCATTTGAGTTTGAATTTTTGGATGGGCTTGTGGAATGCGTGCTGAGCCCCACCCCACCCCAAGAGTTTCTGATTCAGCGGATGTGGGGAAGGGCCAGGTTTCTAACTGGTTCCAGCTGTGGCTTGGGGCTCTTGCTCTTGGTATGACCGCCCTCTTGGCTGATTGATAGTCCCTGACATTTTACGACAGGTCACAGTCTTAGAGCAGCTCTCAGTATACCTTCTTCATCCCATTTCACTCTCACAACTGGGAGATGGCTGTGCTGTTATATTTAACTGGGTCTGCTAGTTTTTGAAACACTGTTTCATACCTGCTGCCTTTCATAGAAAGTTTGAGTCAGTTTAATATAAGATGTTAATAATATAGCACAGTATAAGATGATAATGTAAGTTGAATATAAAAGGAAAACTTTACTCAGAGGAGTCAGCGCCCTGCGAGGACCCCGAAGCCTCCACCCACCCCTCCGCAGGGCGGCGCGGGCAGAGCCTCGCTGGGCGGCTGTCCTGGCGCTGGGGCGGCGTGTGTGCGCAGTCTCTCTCACACGGCGCGTGACCGGTCGGTGGGTCACACTTAAGCCCCGGGGGCCGGGCTGGGCCCGAGCTGCTGCTGTCAGCAGGCGCCTCCACCCCGCCCTGTGTCCGCGGGCACAGCCGTGTCTGTGCATGCGCATCATCCTGAGCTGCTGCTTTGGCGAATCACTGGCTTCTTAGGGCAGCTCTGCGAGTCCTGTCCTTCCTTGCAGTAGGCTGGTTGAGGAGGCCATGCGACACGCCAGGCCATGCGGCTGGCAGCCGGATCCATTTGTCTGCACGGTCTGCACGGCCACACTTACCTGTGCGGGGCAGTGGGCACGTGCAGACCCCTCAGCACACGGTGCGGTATTGTCCCAGCAGTCTAGCTTAGCAGGCCCGATTCCCAGCTCTCCTTGCCAGTGTGCTTGTTGAGGGAGTCTTTTCTCTCCTACATTAGGAGTGTTTTTAATAGTTTTAATAGCTAACTTTTAATTTTTTCTCATAACTGAAACTTAACTTTTATTTCCTTAGTTCCAGAATTGCATTTCAAAAAGATGTAGTGAGCTGCGTCTAAACATATAATTGTGTGCTTTTTAATTTAGAGACCAGAATAAATATAAAGATGCAGCTAACCTACTGAACGATGCCTTGGCCATCCGTGAGAAAACTCTGGGCAAAGATCATCCTGCGGTTTGTATACTGGTTCTTCATCCTTTTCAAATTTTACTTTCCCTAATACATTTTTTTTTTTACCCAACTCATTTCACTGTTAAACTCAACAGGGAAGATTTAAGAGCTGCCCTTTGGCTGGACGGCACAGGTAGGACTTCCTCACTCAGAGCCAGTGATGAGCTCCGTGTGGGTGACTCACAGTTAGCAGGTTTCAGCGTGCGCTTCTGTTGATCGCCCACCTCAAATGGATCACGTACGGTGTTCTTGATCCTGAATCAAATTGCATGTACTTCTGTAAATTTTTTCCTAAAGATTTTGTATTGTCTTTTTATTAAAATCTGGTCACATTTGCATTTAGATCTATTTTGGTTGGTTTTGTGGCTTCCAAGTGAAATTTTAAAAAAGAATCAAGATCACAGTGATTTGTGTGGTGGCCTGTGGCGTTACTTTGTGGCCCACTGGACAGTGGTGTTGCTCTCTCGCCTCTGAGTGAAGTCGGCTGGAGAGCACTTCCATCACGCACTGGGGAGCGTGTGTGTGTGTGTGTGTGTGTGTGTGTGTGACGTCTGACGTCCCCTCCGCCTGGCGTTGACCGTTCTTCCTGGTTTCCTGTGTTGGCAGGTGGCAGCCACTCTGAACAACCTCGCAGTGCTTTACGGCAAAAGAGGGAAGTACAAAGAAGCCGAACCTCTGTGTAAGAGAGCCCTGGAGATCCGAGAGAAGGTGCGCCAGGACGGCCCTGTTCCCGGGACGCCACGCCTTATGCTTCTAAATATTCTCTCTGTATCTTGAGACAGGACCATGGGGATACATCCTCACTGGCCATATACCAAAAATACGCCCTTCATTCCAGTGTGCAGTCTGAGACACAGCCGACGGGCCCTGCCCGGGAGTCTCGGCGGGGTGGGGCGCAGAGGGTGGAGCCTTGAGTTCTAGGCCCTCCCAGCCTGAGGCCGAGAGTGGCCTAAAGTGACTCCTCTGAGGAAGGAATTTCTGAGGCCTGTGCCAGGCGTGGGGCATTTCGTTTACAGTGGGGCACGTGCCTGTCACGAAGAAAAATGTGAAAATTAAACAGTCACCAAATATGCTTACAAAACTTAATAGCTTTTCTTTTGAGAACTAAAAAATAACCCAGAACTACAGATTCAGTCAGTGTCATGGATGTTTACTGTGAGTTAGTACAGTTTATAATAATTAGGTATTTTAAAAGTGGATCTTGTTAGTTTCCACAGTATTCCATATAACTGTGTATTCAAATGTTGCAGACGCTGGGCAGGTCCATGCCATGATAATTTAATTTGTGTGTATCATTGTTATCAAATGTTATCATATTATCAAATGTTATTTATCAATATTGAGAGATTAATCATTTAATTTCCAGTCATAATGGCAAGGACTTGGGGAAAAGAAAATGAGAAGAAGCTCATTATCAAGTTATACAGGTCAAGTTTTGTCCATGCTTTCATTTGCATGATATTTATTAAGAAATAAAATTTTTATTTTATTTTTTATTTATCCACTCAGGTTTTGAGTGGGCTGGGGTTAAAATTAGGGAAAACCACAAATGTATCACATTGTGGATTATGAACTCTAGATGACGGTCTGTTAGGTTCTTTTGTGTTTAATTGCTCTCAGTCACTCATGTGGCAAACACTTATTGAGGACTTGGGGCCCTCACTTGGTTAGAGTTGATCATTTAGAATCAGCCACAGCCTCTTCCCTGGGCGCACGTCCCGCCAGGCAGACGCTGGCTCCTGGCCGAGAGCTCAGGGAGAGCGCAGAGCAGCGGCTCCTCCAGGCCCAGGGCTGGGGCTGTGCGGACGTGGCCTCCCGCCGTCGCTCGGTCTGGAGCCAAGTCTTAGGGCTTCCCAGCCAGGGAGAAGAGGGCAGTGCAGAGGTCGGGAGAGGCGGCTGCACAGGTGAGGGCGCAGCGCGAGGCGGAGGGCCTGTTCAGGTCCTAAGGGGGAAGTTCATGTTTATTTATCCACCTCGTGCCAGCACCTTTGTAGGTGCTGAGATAACATTACATCTAGACACTGAGACAAAGCACTCTGAGGCTTGCATTTTAATAGGGGAGAGTCAGGCGATAAAGAACTAAATTGATAAATAAGAGAGTTTTGAGTAGTGATACTAGCAAAGAAAGAAAAAAACCCAAGTGATGTGCTTGTGAGTTAAGTGGGTGGGGACGGACTCACGGTTCCCTTAAATTGGATATGAGGAGGTTCCTTGTGAGGGGACCTGAGACCTGCAGGATGAGTTGTTGGTGGGAATGGGGAGCTGGGTAGGGCTGGGAGAAGTGTCGTGTGTCTGGGACAGCACATTTGAGTTTGAAGTGTGAGGGGCCTGGTTTGTGGTCACAGAATCTGGTGTTAAAGAGGGGATGCGTAGGGTGTTAGTTGAGGAGCTGGGAGTTCCCTTTGAGGCTGTTCTTCCCAGGAATGAGTGTAATCCCGTTAGAGTCAGGAAGGGCTGAGTGTGAGTTTGGGCATGTTTAAAACTTGGCAGTCATATTAGATAGCCTTTATAAAATCCAGTTTCTTCATCTTCAGAATGTCCATAATATTACCTACCATGTAGGATTATTGAAGGATTCAAGACTCCAAAGCTTGGGAAGGAAATCAGCACAGCTTCCTCCCTCCCCTGAGAAGACGACTCAACAAATGCTGGTTAAGTGATATTTTACTGTGTGGGTGGCTGTTTAAGTACCATAAGCCTGGAAGCAAGGCACAGTCCTCTTGAGGTTTAGGAAGAGCCTTCTCGTGGTAGGGTAGGGAGTGGGTTGGATGGTACCCTGTGAAACAAATAACAAGTGTCTCTAATGCTATTTTTCATTCCTAGGTTTTGGGAAAGGATCACCCAGATGTTGCCAAGCAGTTAAATAACTTGGCTCTACTGTGCCAGAACCAGGGCAAGTATGAAGAAGTGGAATATTATTATCAGAGAGCCCTCGAGATCTACCAGACAAAACTGGGTCCTGATGACCCCAATGTGGCCAAAACAAAAAATAACCTGGTATGTTGACAGAAGGTCAGCTCTGTAGATAATCAGATTCCTTTCTTCCTGAAGCTTTAGTGCTGTTTCATAGTTTAACTGGTAGATGAGAATGTGTGCTTCCCTGACGTTTGAAGAGTAGTAAGTGCTTTTTTTATTTTAAGGCTTCCTGCTACCTGAAGCAAGGAAAATTCAAGCAAGCAGAAACCCTGTACAAAGAGATCCTCACTCGCGCACACGAAAGGGAGTTTGGTTCAGTGGATGGTAAGAGATGCACTTTTGTTTTTAAGCAGATGCAGCTGTAGAGTGCATTAAACATAGGGATTTCCAGCTTAAAACTCGGTAATACCCAGGTCATCACAGTCTTGGTGATGGCCCACCTGCCTCGTGTTTCCAGGTTGCCCTCACCCAGAGTCTTCACTTGCCTCAGGTACAGCCTGTATGCAGTAACTCCAGAGCTCCTTCCTGGAGTCCTTGACTGCTTTCTTGAATTGTTCTGTGGTCCAGTGGCTCCGAGTGCCGGCAGGAACCCAGCAGCTCCAGCGCCACCTGGGGCCTGTCAGAAATGCAGACCCTCCACCCGTTCCAGTCCTGTTGGACTGTCTTGATGGCCGTAAGGAGCGGAGGCCTGTCTCCTTTATGGTCCTTAAAGTATTGTAGGTGCTTAATACACAGTTTTGAAATAAGTATTTTGTCAGACTTCTAACTGCTCAGTCAAACAGTATCTGTATGTTACATGAGGCATCTTTCCCCCTTCGGTGGCCGAGACAAGAGGGGTTGAGAATGTGGACAGTTGTTGCCAGTGTGTTAGAAACCTTAGGATTCGTGGGGAAGAGGTGACAGTTCATAGATACTTCCTTTTATGAAGAATTTCTGGAAAGCACTTTTGAAAACCTTTTGAGAAGTGTATTAGTTTTTCTTTGTCAGCAAGAGGAGCAGTAAGTCTGTTTTACTGTCAGAAGGTAGTAATGCCCCAGGCTTGTCATTGTGGAAACGGACTCTCGTCTGCCTTGGGCCCTTACTGGATCACAGCTCACCTCCCTGGACTTCACAGTCCATAGGGAGCTTCCGTGTCCTCTCACTGCAGAAGCCTTGAAATCAGTCTGATTTCAATATTGACCTTCTGGTGATGTCCATGTGTAGAGTTGTCTCTTGTGTTGCTGGAAGAGGGTTTTTGCTATGACCAGTGAGTTCTCTTGGCAAAACTGTTCGCTTTTGCCCTGTTTCATTTTGTACTCCAAGGCCAAACTTGCCTGTTACTCCAGGTATCTCTTGACTTTCTACTTTTGCATTCCAGTCCCCTATGATGAAAAGGGCATCTTTTTTTGGTGTTAGTTCTAGAAAGTTTTGTAGGTCTTCATAGACTTGTTCAACTTCAAGTTCGGCGTTAGGCGCTATCTCTTCATTCTTTTTGGAGTTATTTCTCCACTGATCTCCTGTAGCATATTGGGCACCTACCGAGATGGGGAGTTCATCTTTCAGTGTCATATCTTGTTGCCTTTTTATACTGTTTATGGGTTTCTTAAGGCAAGAATACTGCTGTGTCACTAAGTTTTAAATACTGTTCAGTCTTTTTTTTTTTAATTGATATTTAAAATATTTTTTCAAATATTTAAACAGTTTTTGTGCCAGCACCGCTAACTGAATAATCCATCTATTCCCACTACTAAGTCTTAAGGTCATAATGGTCATATTCTAAATTCTTTATCAAGTCAGTGGTTTTATTGCTGCTGTTAATGGTGGGGGTGGTTTTTGTGTTGAACTGTTTCTTTCCACTGATGCAGATACTGATTCTTGTGCCAGTTACACATCTTCTTGGCTGTTGTGGTTTGAAGTGAGGCAGGCATGGGAGGGGGTGAAGGTAGAATATATGATGTGTCAAGGGCACTCTGATTAATCTTCGCTTTCAAAATTTCCTGGGCTAGTCTCACTTTCTTTTTTTGCTTAATTTTTTAAATTGAAGTATAGATTTAAAATGTTAATTACTGCTTTACAACAAAATGATTCAGTTATGAACATATATACATTCTTCTTAAAGTATCTTTTCCACTGTGGTTTATCATAAGATCCTTCAGCCTCCTTGCAGTTCGTCCATCCTCTCTATGATCGTTTACACCTGCTGGCCCTGGCCTCCCTCTCCACTTTCCCCGAGCCCGTCAGCAGCTCCCGGTCTGTCCTGTCTGTGAGTCTTGTTTCTGTTTCATAGATAGTTTCGTTTGTGTCATAAATTAGATTCTGAGTGGTATCGTATGGTACTTGTCTCTCTCTTTCTGACTTATTTCACTTAGTACGGTCCGCTCTGGTTGCATCCATGTTGCTGCAAATGGCATTATTTCATTCTTTATTTTTCTAATGACTGAGTAGTATTCCATTGTATATATGTTATCCATTCATTTGTTGGTGGACATTAGGTTTGTTTCCAGGTTTTGGCTGCTGTAAAAAGTGCTGCTCCGAACATAGGGGTGCATGTATCTTTTTGAAATAGAGTTTTCTCGTGTATATGGTGCGGAGTGGAATTGCAGGATCGTATGGTGACTCTTCTTAGTTTTCTGAGAAACCTCCATACTGTTTTCTGTAGCCGCTGCACCAACTTACATTCACACCAGCAGTGTTGGAGGGTTCCTTTTCTCCTCATCCTCTCCAACACTTAACTTTTGTAAACTCTAATGATGGCCATTCTGACAGGTGTGAGGTGGTACCTCATTGTAGTTTTGATTTGCACAGCTCTAATAATTAGTGACATTGAACATCTCACGTGCCTGCTTATCTCTATGTTGTCTTTGGAGAAATGTCTGTTTAGGTCTTCTGACCATTTTTTGATTGGGTTGTTGCTTTTTGTGTTGCTGAATTGTGAGAGCTGTTTTTATATTTTGGAGATTAATCCCTTGTCAGTTGCAGCCTTTGCAAATACTTTCTTCCATTCTGTAGATTGTCTTTAATTTTGTTTATGGTTTCCTTTTCTGTGCAAGTATTCACTCTTTTAAAACCAGTATTTAAAACTAGCTTTACTCTTCTATGACATGCCAAATAATCATGATAGTAGTTAACGATGTACACTAGTCTTTCAATGAAAAAAAGTTGAAATTTGTAATGTTACTTTTCTTAGCAGTTCTGTGAAGTGGGTCACACCTTACTCCAGTTTAGGAGCGAGGACCCTGCAGGCTAAGTGCTTCTCCCAGATCAGGAAGTTATGAGTGGTCGGATTGGGTGGGGACACAGGTCTTGTTCTCCAGATCCTGAAATACGTCCTCATTGCAGGAAACCTCAAAAATAAGTGCGGAGACGGGAACAGGAGAATCACTGTCGTTTCATTACCCAGATATGCCTTTTAATGTTTTTAGTGTCTCTCCTTCCTTTTTTATTACTGATTTGTATAGTTGAAGCAACACTTTACATATAATCACATCTACTGATTATTTTCCTTTATAGTAGCTTAAGCATGTTTCATGTCATAACCTTCACTTGTAAGACTGCTTGCCTGCCATGTTGTGGTACGTTAGTTGTTTGGAAGTTTTGGGGGAACGGTATGTGTCAGCATTCTCAAAAGTTAAGAAAAATTTAAAGGAATTTAAGGAATTTAAAGGAATAAATCAATAATTTTTTCACTTTTTCTCTCAACATCTTACTACTTGGACTTTGTTTAATGTTAGGTTCCTCAGATTCTAAATGGTCCAAGTGTTATGTGAAGATTCTAGCATTGAAAATTTTCTTATAGGGTTTTTTACCTAGGCTCCACGGGGAGACTGGCCTACAAAGAAACATACCTTCTCTCTGCTAAAAACTCTGTGCACTGGAGCCTGAGCAGAGGAGCTATACAACCCCAGACGTGCTAGGGTCAGGATCGCTGCAGACGCTCGGCTGGGCTTGTGCTGAGGGAGCTCTAATAGCTTCTGCAGCTTGCTAGGAGCATGGTTTTGGCCCTGCTGGGAAAGAGGCTAGAAAACAGAACACACATCATCAAATAGCCCACAGTAGACAGTATCACTCTCACGCCTCACAGTTAGGTGCTGGAGAACTGAGGTCATTTCTTCTTTATCTGTGAATCCCCAGCTCTCAGAAAATAGTAGGCGTTCAGTAAATGTTTGGAGAAACAAGTCAGTGAACAACAGGAAGTTTCCTTATAAGGATGTGAGCATTTGTCCGTGTTTTTGAAAGTTTCCTCCCTGTCTAGATAGGCACCTTTGATTCCGTGCCTTCTGTTCACAGAATGGCGAGTAAATGGTCATTTCCTTCTTGTTTCTTGGGTCTGGTTCTGCCGTCAGAGTCCTTTTTCTCCAGTGTGATGCCTAGTCTGTTCTTGTTGTGAAAAGTAGTATCTGAGAAGGATCATATGGGAAACAAAACAGAAACGTTGCAGATGCTGGAACTTGACAACTTCTACGTAGCGGACTCTGTTATGCCTTGATTCATAGCATGTTATTTTTTCTTCCATAGATGAAAATAAACCCATTTGGATGCATGCTGAGGAGAGAGAAGAATGTAAAGTAAGAACACATTATTTTGTGAAGTTTTCTAAACTGAATATATTGCTTGATAATTATCTACTTGAAATTCTTTGTTGCAATTTAGGGAAAGCAGAAGGATGGGACGTCTTTTGGAGAGTACGGTGGCTGGTACAAGGCCTGCAAAGTTGACAGGTGCGTCTGCTTGCCTGGGAAACAGACACTCAGCTGTGGGAGGCACTGATGCTTCAAAGGCAGCCTGTCAACCACGTCATGTGTAAAGTTCCTCAAGGTGATGTGGCTGCACAGGCCCTTATTTTCCCCCAGGTTCCAATAGAACTCTGTAACTTTGTAAGTGAGATAATTTACGTATACAAAACCCACCTTAATATGATGCAGTGGGCAAAAGCATGGGCCCTGTTCGTTAATGCTGAGTCTTAACGCTAGCTCCCAGGTTGCAGGAGGAGAGATGGCTAAGCAGAGACACAGCCTTTAAGGCCGTGGGGCAGACTTGCAGGAGCAGGCCGGCAGCCCTGCGAAGCCCGCACTTTGCAGCTGTGTCCAGGCGCACACCCCGTCTCCCACAGCCTCAGGGCCTCCTGTCTCCAGAGGGCAGTGTGGCTCCTCCGGCAGCAGCCCACCAGCCTGGCCCAGCGCTGTTTCCTCTGACTGGAACACTCTTCTTGTCAGTAGTCTCTTCCTGTTTTAACTTTCACGTATTCTCTAAGACTCAGTTTACTAGTCTTCTGTTACTATTTCAGGAAAACTCTTTTTATTCTGAATCCCTAGTTTGGAATAAATATCCCTCCTCTGACTCCCCATAGCACTTACCATAATTTCTGAATTTCACATGCTTTCTCCCAGTACGTGTAAACTGTCTGAAAACATGGAGTATAGCTGCTTTATCAATTATTTAAAACTATTTATTGTATCCTTTTTGCTGCATTGGGTCTTAGTTGCAGCACACATGGGATCTTTTTGTATCTGCAGTGTCTTTTTGCGGCACACAGATTCTCTAGTTGTGGCCCTGCGACCTAGTTGCAATGCAGCATGTGGGATCTAGTTCCCTAACCAGGGACTGAACCCAGACCCCGTGCACTGGAGGTGCAGAGTCCTGGCCTCTAGACCACCAGGGAGTTCCCAGCTCACTTCTAGAGCTCCTGTCATCAGTAAGAGAACAGTCCCCTGGAGTATATCTGTAGTAAAATGAGCTAGATTGATTTCTCATCTGTTAACGAGACTGCTCTGTCAGCAGCACAGAGACACACCGTCTGCGTCCACGCTGCTTGGTCTTCTTTTGCACACACAGCCGTCCTTCTCTGACTCTGGTCCTGCTGGTGATGAGTTTTGGATTCGCGCTGTTTCCCCTCTCCTCGCAGCGGGAAAGGAGAAGGTGTAGAGCAGCGTTGGAACGTGTGTCCTCTGTACTGCCTGGCACAGTCGGCTTCCAGGGGACGCCTGATGGTCACTGGGCAGACCCAGCACAGACCTTCCTGTTGAGACTGCCCAGTAGGCTGTGTGAGCGGAAAGAGCACTGGGGTGGCCGCGGGGTCAGTGCTGTAGGCAGGGCATGCTTGAGTTAGAAGAGCCTTTTAGAATTTTACAGGTAAAAAGTATCGTAGAAATTTAACTTTAGCCAGACGATAAGTATGTTTGTCCTTTAGATTAAGTGCTATTGATCGTGGCTGCTCCGAAACTTATATTGAATCAGTTTGTGTATTGTATGCTTTCTTACAGTCCAACTGTCACAACTACTCTAAAAAACCTTGGGGCACTTTACAGACGTCAAGGTAAATTTGAAGCTGCAGAAACACTGGAAGAAGCAGCCATGAGGTCTCGCAAACAGGTCAGTCAGCAGCCTTCTGCTTATAGCTTTGCGTTTGATTCTGTTTTATGAGACTTGTTGCAATACTGATTCGGAGAGAGGAAACATTTCCTGTTTTAGTTTGTACAAATGAAACTGGGTTTTGCTCAAGTGACACCACAGGCACCAGCTACAGAGGCAGGAGTCAGAACTGCCAGAATGAGCAGCGTCTGTGCCTCCGGGGACGTTGTCAAGAAGACAAAAGGCATCACAGAGTGGGTGGACGTGTTTGCAGACCACATCTCTGATGCGCTCCAGCAGCCAGAATGTATAAGAACACAACGCCCAGCTCATGAGGAAATGAACACAGGCCCTAACCCGACATTTCTCCGAAGATGCCGCATAGCCGCCACCAGCACATGGAAGGATGCCCCAGGTCGTCAGTCACCAGGGGAGGCACCGCTGCACAGCCTCTAGGGTGGCTGCAGGAGAGACACAGCAGAGGCAGCAGGTGTTGCGGAGGAGCTGTGGGGACTGCATCCCTGCTCACGGCTGGTGGGGACGTGGACGGCCCAGCCGCCGGAGGGCACGGTTGGCAGGGTCCTCCAGGAGTGAGGCCTGGAGCTCCTGTCTGACCCCGCGCGCCCGCTCCTGGCGCCTGCCCGAGAGGGCAGCCGGGGGCCGAGGCAGATGCTGCTGGCTCCCCTTCCTCCGCGCCGTGTTCCCTGCAGCTGCCCTGAGTCAGTGAGTGAACCCCTGCTCCTGGGAGGCAGAGTCAGGCTCCTGCAAGTCTCTGGTCACACTTAGTCACCAGATCAGCTCAGAGCTTGTCTGCACTGCTTCTGTTCAGGGACACCTTCTGTAGTGTATGTTGTTGACTCGTTAGTGTTGACCTCACGGCCGGCAGCATAACTCTTGCCTGAAGGGAGCTCATCTCCACAGGGCACGCGCCAGCCTTCTCGCGTAAGCTCAGGTCTCCAGAGGACTCCTGAGCACCACTCGAGAGGCCAGCGACCAAGATGTGGACAACGCGGTTCTGAGTAACTCAGACTGGGGGAAGGACGTTGTCTGCAGCATGAGACGAAGCAGGAAAGCAGTGTCCCCTCGTTCCGTCTTAGTGGGGATGTGCATGTCAGCTGACTTGAAGTTTCCTCCACTCTCTGTGTGTCTGTGAACCCCCATGGAAGCACTGAGAGTGTTGATTTGGGATGACAGATCCATTTTGGCCGGTAGGTGAATTGGCAGGTATGGCCTCCGTGACTGATGAGGAAATACGTTCATGGCAGTGTTGGTTTCAGTAGGTTGAATGTCCAGACAGCGGCACGTTCATCGATGGATGAATGGATACACCGTGTGGTATATCTGTGCGATGGAATGTTATTTGGAAATAAAAAGGACTACTGAAGCACTTTGCTTCATCATCTGAGGTGTTTTAGTTAACGCTGAAACGCAGTTTGTAGGGAACTTAACAAGGAGAAGGCTTGCTTACTGCCCTTTAGTTACCAGTTTTCAGAGTTAAGAGGGTAATATGTTACTATATACGTGTACAGGTATAAAGATGGCAGGTTTTGTTTTCTGTTTTTAGGACTGGAAGGGCTGATGTGGTTTTTCCCCCAGAATGGTGAATGTGTAGGCTGTCATGCAGTTGTTGGTTTATGGCGACTTTCTGGCTGGGGTTAAAGTTACCCGTCGAGATTCTGTGCAGAGGGAGTAGGGAAGGCCCAGCCAAGGGGCTGGCCATGATCCTCTCCCTGCCGGTGCCCCCGCGGGAGCCCCTCTGTCACCCTTCCTGGGTCTCCGACTGAGGGGCTGCTGTTCTGGGGAAGGGGCTCTGAGCACGCGCCCTGGGTGTGTGAGGCGTGGGCTTCTGGCTCTTGGTCTGCGATGCCCCTTCATCGTCGGGCCTTGCTGTGAGCCAGCACCGCGTAGTGTCACCAGCCAGCAGCATCTGGAGTCTGGAGCTGAGCTGCAGACGTTTGAAGAAGGGGTTGCAGGTGCTTTGCTGAGAACGGCCTCTCCTGACAGGAGGGCCAGGGTCCACTTCCCTGTGGACGTCACCGCAGTGTGTGGTCTGTTTGCGGTTGTGCCCCTTGAGGAGGAAACCGTGAGGGTCAGTGAAGGGACGGTGTTGGCGTGCGCCGTCTGGGTGGGAGCTCCATCTGGAACTTCAGACGGGCTGTGCCTGCTCATCCGGTGGGTCTGGGGTGCACGTGGGAAGCCCGCTGCCAGGTGCTGGCGCAGGGACCTGCACTTAGCTGTGCGCGGGTGATCCTGAGGGTAAGGTGCATGGCCTCCGCTGCCCGTCTCAGGAGCAGGAGTTGGCCCTGAAAATGCTGTTCGTAAGCCAGGGGCTAATTTCTGAAAATGTTGTACTGAGAACAATGTAATCCATGAGTCTTCACACCGAGCCCTTGGCATTACAGTGTTAGAAACTGGGCATTTCCCCAACATCTCACGATGAAACTTCCCAGACGTGGAGGAGAGACGTCCCCATGTGCTCACCAGCTAGACTGAGTCAGGAGTGTCTCTCCCCCATCTGTCCTTCAGTCCTTTTGTTGGGATGCCTTTCAAAGTTGTATACCTCAGTACACTTCCTTCTGAATACTTCAGAATGCACCTCACTGCCTGGAGCTCAGTATTCGTTCATAGTGTTTTAAAATTTGAGGTAAAAATATATATACGGTGGAATGTACAAGTCTGTATGTTCTTAAGAATCCCTGTTCTTACGTACTCCAGTGTTTCAGAGCTTTTCCCCCCTAGTACATGTTTAGTCATCCCAGAAATCCACAGTAGGCTCAAAACTAGAGTCAGAGGTCAGCGTGGCAGAGTCCCGGGATGCGTGGAGGACAGAGAAGGCTGATGCATCAGTTCGGTGAGAGGAAAATCGCCTTTCCCCACACCGGCCTCTGAAGCTGGTGGCCATCTTCCCCGGGAATGCACAGACAAAACCCACAGCACAGTGCTGGTGGGAGGAGAGGAGACTGACAGAGATCAAGCCCTGAGCGTTTGGAGTGGGGCACTGACTCCAAGAGCCTAGACCACCAGAGAACTCACCCTGGGGCGTATCAGGTAGTGAGAACTCACACAAAGGAGACCACTTGAATACATCACCGGGATCACCCAACCACCAGTAGCGCCCTGTGCAGGATGCCTCATCTAAACAGCAAACAAAACAAAAATGCAAGCTGAGTCATCAGCAGACAGGATTACCACCTCATGCAACCTTGCCCAGCAGAGGAAAAACAGACAAAAAACTGAGCACAAATCTCACCCTGTACGAAGCTTACACAAACCAGGGCACCAACCGTATGAGGGCAGAAACCAAGAGGAAGAAAGAGCTCAGCTCTGAAGCCTGGGAAAAGGAGACCTCAAATACAAAAAGAATGTAAAGGCAGAGAAATACTACACAAATGAAGGAACAAACTAGAAACACAGAAATCGAAATAAATGAAGAGGAAATAGGCAAACTCCCTGAAAAAGAACTCAGAATAATGATAGTAAAGATGATCAAAAACCTTGAAAACAAAATGGAGAAAAATGCAAGAATCAATTAACAAAAACCTCGAAGAATTAAAGAATAAATATACAGAGACAAACCGCACAATTACTGAAATTAAAAGTATTCTAGAAGGAATCAATAGTAGAATATTGTAGAATATTAGTAGAATATTGTAGAATAATAGTAGAAGCAGAAGAACGAATCAGTGAGCTGAAAGATAAAATGGTGGAAGTAACTTCTGAAGAGCAGAATAAAGTAAAAAGAATGAAAAGAACTGAGGACAGTCTCAGAGACCTCTGGGACAGTATCAGACGCACCAACATTTGAATTGTAGGGGTCCCAGAAGAAGAGAAAAAGAAAGGGTATGAGAAAATTTTTGAAGAGATTATAGTTGTGAATATTTCCCCAACATGGAAAAGGAAATAGTCAATCAGGTCTTAAGAGGTGCAGAGAGTCCCATACAGGATAAACCCAAGGAGAAACACACCAAGACACATACTAACCAAACTTACAAAGACTAAACTGCAAGGGAAAAGCAGCAAGTGACATGACAAGGGAAACCCCGTCCGCTGAGCAGCGGATCTTCCAGCAGAAGCTGCAGGCAGAGGGGAGTGTCAGGGTGTATTTAACGTACTGAAAGGGGAGTATCAACGACCAAGACTAAGACTAGACTGTACCTGGCATGGATCTCATTCAGAATTGATGGAGAAATAAAAAGCTTCTCAGACAAGCAGAAGTTAAGAGAATTCAATATCAGCAAACCAGCTTTACAGTAAATGTTAAAGGGACTTATATAGTCAAGAAGTACAAGAGGAGGAAAAGATCTACAAAATCAACCCCAAACAATTAAGAAAATGGCAATAGGAATACATATATCAATAATTACTTTAAATGTAGGTTGATTAAATGCTCCAACCAAAAGACACAAACTGGCTGAATGGATGCAAAAACAAGACCCACATATATGCTGTTGACTAGAAACCCACTTCAGACCTAAAGACACATATAGACTGAAAGTGAGAAGATGGAAAAATATATTCCATGCAAATGGGAAGCAAAAGAAAGCTGGAGTAGCAATCCTCATATCAGACAAAATAGACCTTAAAATAAAGAAGATTACAAGAAGAGATAGGAAGGACACTGCATAATGATCAAGGCATAAATCCAGGAGGAAGACATGACAATTGTAAATATTTATGCACCCAACATAGGAGCACCTCAGTACATAAGACAAACACTAACAGACATAAAAGGAGAAACTGATAGTAACACAATAATAGTAGGAGACTTTAACCACCCTGCTCACACCAATAGATGGATCATCCAAACAAAATTAATAAGGAAACACAGGTCTTAAATGATACATTAGATGAGATGGATCTCACTGATATCTTTTGGACATTCCATCCAAATGCAGAAGAATACACCTTCTCAAGTGCACATGGATATTCTCCAGGATAGACCACATCTTGGGTCACAAATCAGACATCAGTAAATTTAAGAAAATTGCCATAAAAAGGAACACATTTGAGCCAGTTTTAATGAGGTAGATGAATCTAGAACCTATTATATACAGTGAAATAAGTCAGAAAGAGAAAGATAAGTATCGTATTCTAACGCATATATATGTAATCTAGAAAAATGGTACTGAAGAATTTATTTACAGGGCAGAAGGCAATGGCAACCCACTCCAGTACTCTCGCCTAGAAAATCCCATGGACAGAGGGAGCCTGCTGGGCTGCAGGCCATGGGGTCGCTAAGAGTCTGACACAACTGAGCGACTTCACTTTGACTTTTCACTTTCATGCGTTGGAGAAGGAAATCGCAACCCACTCCAGTGTTGTTGCCTGAGAATCCCAGGGATGGGGGAACCTGGTGGGCTGCCATCTATGGGGTCACACAGAGTCAGACATGACTGAAGACTTAGCAGTGGAGAAACGGACATAGAGAATAGACTTAGGAATGTGGGGAGAGGGGAGGAGAGGGTGAGAAAGAGTGACATGGAAACTTCCGTCACCCCGTGTAACACAGAGAGCCATGGGAATTCGCTGTGCAGCTCAGGAAACTCAAACAGGGGCTCTGTGTCTGCCTGGGGGGTGGGGTGGGGCAGGAGATATATGCATACCTATGGCTGATTCATGGTGAGGGTTGACAGAAACCAACAATTCTGTAAAGCAATTATCCTTCAATAAAAAATAAAAACCAGAAGTCAGAGCACAGCATGAGCGCTAACGGCTGAAACCCCCGTCCCCCGCCCGGCTCGCAGGGCCTCGACCACGTTCACAAGCAGAGAGTGGCAGAAGTGCTGGGTGACGCCGAGAGCGCAGAGAAGCGGCGGAGCCGGGAGAGCCTCGGCGCGGACGCGGTCAAGTACGAGAGCGGCCCCGACGGCGGCGAGGAAGTGAGTATGAGCGTAGAGTGGAACGGGGTAAGTACAGCGCGCCGCGCGCCCGCCGGGCCGCCCCGCTCCCCGCAGGCTGCCTGCTTCTCTCCAACTAAGCTCAGTTAGCCGTTTGTAAGTTCGAACCTTCTGCTAATACTGCAGGCTGTCACTTGTTTGAAGAGATTGTCTTCTCTTTAGGAATCTGTGAGAGCTGTTGGCTTTCCTCTGAGCACATAATGCTGATTGAGTGTCCTGGTTGTTTAAAGCATACTCCATCATCTGGTTTGATTTTAATGTTAGGATTAGTGCGGCAGAGAACTAACTCGCTTTTTTAACTTAACCCATTTTCATTGCTAACTTCAGTGCTCCTAATTTCACTGACGAGGCTGCTCTAGATTTTGTTAGAATTAATCAGCCCTTCACAGGAAGATGATGATCCAAATAGAACTTGTTTGTAGACGAGAACAGGGCAGGGCCTCCCACGTGGCACCAGTGGTGAAGAACCCACCTGCCCATGCAGGAGACGTAAGACACGCAGGCTCAGTCCCTGGATTGGAAGATCCCCTGGGGGAGGGCATGGCAGCCCATCCAGTGCTCTTGCCTGGAGAATCCCGTGGACAGAGGAGCCTGGCGGGCCACGGTCCATGGAGTCACAAAAAGTCGGACTGGGTGACTCAGCACACGTGCACACTCTTCCTGTCCCGGCTCAGTCCACGGAGGGCCTTTGGGTTGCAAGCTTGTGCTTGCATCAGACACTTTTCACCTCCCTGGCAGACTCCCTCCGAGGAACGTCTTCCCATTGCTGTTCCCCAGGGTTGCCAGAGAGCACGTGGCCTTCTGCATGTTTTCCAGGGCGCTTCTGTAACGCTGAGCCGGTGTCTGAAAGTTCGCCTTCACAGGCGAGGGTTGGATGCCGTTCACCTTTAGTACAGTCAGGTCTGCCGTTCTTTTGTTTTTTAGGTCACGTTACGCAATTTGATGAGGGTTTCCCAAGTTGCTCAGTGGTAAGAATCTGCCTGCAATCCAGAGACCTGGGTTCTATTCCTGGGTCGGGAAGAGTCCCTGGAGAAGGGAATGGCAGCCCACTCCAGTACTCTTGCCTGGAGAATTCCAGGGACAGAGGACCCTGGTGGGGTACAGTCCATGGAGTTGCAAAGAGTCGGACTAAACAACAATAAAAAGTACAATCTGACCAGTTACAACTGTGCAGATGTTTTGCCAAATAGTTTAGGGTCTTTCTTACAGCCTGTCTTTTTGAATCTGTCCTTCGGGATTTTCTATGGCTATTGCAGTTGGGCACGGGTCAGCATTCTGGGCTGACGTTTCGCACAGAACTCTGCCGGCCAGCCTTTGAGGGAGCGCCTGTTTCTGTCTTTATCCGGCGGCTTCCCGGCTTTGATCTTCTGTGCCAAGACAACCAATCAGCATGTGCTTCGACCATGCGCCCGTCGGGCAGGCGCCCAGGGCGCGGCGGCAACACAGCCCTGCCGCGTCCGCGTCCAGCCCGCACTGTGTACTGTGCTCCCCGTGGTGGCTGCCGTCTGCGTGCTTCGTGTGGAGGGCCCGCCCGCCGCTAGTCCTGAGAAGCCAGGGGGCAGGGTTTGAGCCTTCAGAGTGAAGTTCTGGGGGAGCTTTCTCTTGAGACAGTATTTCTAGGTCATTCTTTCAGTGACATCATGGGATAATAAAATCATTGACACCTCAGGGTTCTCTTGGAGTCTTCACGGCTGAAACCCGGGGTGAGGAGAGCTGCTCTCACCCCCCGTGGAGGGGTGGGCCGTGGAGTCGTGGGTGCAGAGGGTGGAGGCCCCCACCTCCCTCCCCCAGTGCCTGCCTGCTCCCGCTTTCGTCTCACGTCCTCTCCCCGGGACAGGCTGTCACTTAGGACGTGCACATGGTGGGCACGGGGTGCCTCTTTACTTAACTCTTGGACACCAGCGGCTCTGCGTCTTTGACAAAATCCACTCCAGGGCATTTGGCGTGGCAGTAGGTTCATTGGCTGAAAAGAATCTAGATTTTAGGTCATCCAGTGCAGCGCCTAAAATCACTTTGGGCAGCATAAGGATCCCCCCCTTCAAATGGGGTCTTCCATGCAGCAGCAAGTAAGCAGAGAGCTCCTGGGGCTCACTGGGCAGGGACGGCGAGAGCCGGCTCAGACCACCCCGCCCCGCGGGCCTTGCTCTCAGACCAGCGTCCCTGGAAGCGTGGACGTTCGGGGGCCACGCTGCAGTTGACTCGTTTTATTTTCACTGCATAGGTTTTAAGAAGAGGCAGGAAAGCTGTATGCACCCTTAGGTGGTGTTTAAATTCAGCTTTGCTGAATCAGAGGAGCCCATTGTAAGTGTCACCTGGGTCTGGGGTTCACACACGCTGTCCCCACTGTCTCTGCCCAGGTGTGAGGTTAAGTGCCTGATGCCATCTCGGCGTGTGTGCAGGCTTCCCTGGGGCTCCAAGGAAGACAGATGAAGAATTGTTGCTGTTTGCAGCCACTTTCCTGTGGGCATTAAGATCTTCTCAGTGTTATGCGGTCAGGATAAAAGATAGAAATAAACTGAGAGTTGAGGCGGGCGCTGAGGCTGGACCTGTCTGTAACTTCACATTTCAGATCACAGGTTCTGCGAGGCAGCCGCCTTGTTCTTTACTATCATAAGGACTTGGTACACACTCACAGTGAGAAAATGCTATTTAGGTTTTATTTTATATTGGGGTTCTATGTTAGAATTAAATTTTTTAAAAAAGGATTTCACGGTAAAGAATTTGTCCCTAATAAATAAATGTGAGCCAAGTGGACAGAAACACAACAGGGTTTCAGCGCTGCTTAAAGGGTCTGGGAGCCTCTTTGGAGGGAGAGCGTCGAGTGCGCAGCCCTCACCTGGGCCTTCACCGGACCCCGGTGCAGGCCTTGTCCACACTCAGAAGTGACGCTGACCGCGACGGCAGTCGGAGCCGGGACCGCGGGCATGGTCGTGAGCCCTGCAGGCGCTGCGCGGCTGGCTCAGCACCCAGCTGAACCGCGTGCTGTTAGAATGCAAGGGCAGCAAGCCTGCTGGGCATGTTCTAATCAGGTGAAGTTTCTGGATCAGATTCTCAACATGGTAGTTAACTTCTTTAGAGAGGTACCATTCTGTTCTTTTAATGTACCATAAAGATCATAATTGAAGTACCTGAAAGTGTAACTTCATCAAGCGTTGTTTTTAGGTAGACTCTTCAGGTCTAAACGTCACTGTCAGGATACGTCTCTAATGGTCCTGCCTGTAAAGACACGGATGCCCCATGCACGCTGACCCTCTCTGGGCGACACTGGCCCTGTGGCCCGCGGCCCACGCGTGTCCGCTGTGGGCTCTGCAGGGCCGCAGGCTGCACTGTGGTGAAGGACCTGCATTGGCAGCGGCCCCCGCAGGCCACCAGGAAACGCCGCACATCTCCCGTTCCGAGTGGAGCGTCAGCCTGGAGTGCCGGGCTCTCTGCTGGGGTCCTTCTGAAGGAGCCCCGCTCCGCACGCGCATTCTTGGCAGGCTGCCCCCCGTGTTAATGATTCCGAAAGCTATCTCACACAGTAAGCTCTTCCCCAGGATTACTGGGAATGAAATATACTGTTAATGACAAATAGTTTAATTTTTATTTTTAAAAAATGACATTAGGAAGTCAGCGAGAACATACCAAAGGGAGAGAATTTAAAACACCAAGTCTCCTGAGTCCGTAACTAACACGCACTGCTCTGTAGCTCTTCACCCCAGCCTCGCACCGTCAGGGTCTGTTCAGAAGCCCACTCTGCGATGCAGGTGTTCTTCCGTGGCAGGATAGTGATCTAGACTGTTTCCCAAGTTGAATGCTGGGACTCTTTCCGCCCCTCCAGTCTGTGCTGAGTAGAAATCCACCCAGTTTGGGTAGGTTTGTGCTGTCCTTGCACTGGTTCTCTCAGGGGAGGGTCCCGGGGGTGAGAGCGGGGGCGTGGACACCCCTCCGCGGGTTTGCTCCCCCTTCAGCTTACCCCGTGGCGGGGCGGGAGAGAGTGAGTGTGTGCGTGTGAGTGAGAGGTGCTTCTGGAACCTGCGTGAACTGACTCTTCCGTACCCCGAGTGTCTAGGACAGGAATATGATAAATGGCACTCCTATAGTGTAGCACTGAATTTTGAAGTGAACGGAAGTTGTACTATTTACAGAATTATATTAACATTTTAATAACATTCTTTTTCTGAAGAGCAGCAAGAACTTATGTTTTCTTGTCCTCCCAGCACTGATGGGGAGTTGGTAACAAGTTTTATTTTTCCATTTTAAAGATGAGAAAGATGAAGCTCGGGCTGGTTAAATGACTTGCTCAGCATCGCATGGTGAGTCAGCGCGGGCGGGTGGGCGCAGGTCCCCGCGGGCGGGCTCCCTGCTGGCCAGGACCAGGATGCGTGCCGCCGCGGAGATCTGCGTCCTTAGTTACTTTTACTTTGGATTATCAACTGCATGTTTAAAATGTGCTGTACTTTGGAAGCCAGTGTTTCTTAAAATTTCTGAAATGTCTGAAATGTCAGTGTATGTTAGGGGAAGCCCTGTCTGAGTTGAGAGGCCCCTGTGTGGCTCGGGGCTGCGGGCCTCCTGGCGCAGGCTGACGTGATCGCACTCCTCGCCGAGTGTGGACTCCTGTGGCCACTGTGCTTCGTTCCGGAATCTCCTTGTGCTCAGTGGCTCGAAAGACGTGCCCTGGCTGGCTGTCACGGAGACCTCTGCCTCGGTGCCAGTCCACGTTCTAAACTGTCGGATTTTATTCAGACGACGATTTGGCATGATGGGTAGATGAAGTAAAGGTAGCTTACGTAAGGCCCAGGACCTGTTTCATCCGGGGCTGACAGGAGCAGGCAGAAGGTCATCCCAAATACCGAAGCAGTTAAAACGCCGCCAAGGTGTTGTGACCTAGAAATGCTGTGGGCCGGGCCGCGCTGTGGGGGCGCGGGCCGGCCCGCTCACCGGCGCTCTCTCGTTTCTGTCCGACAGGCCTAGCCGCCCCGCGCGACCCCCGCTGTCTCCTGCATGACGGCTCCTCCTCTCTCCAGCGCTGACCGCTGTCTGTAGCACCCCTAGGATTCTCTGACTGGCCACTCCTGGTGCTGCTGTCCTGTCGGGGCTCCTTATCTCTGTATACGTGTAGTTTTGCCAGATATGTACTCAGTAATGCAGGCTGTGTTAATAAGCCACCCGCTGTGTAACCCGAGTCAGGCGGCCCGCGCGGTTAGCCGTCCCCTCTGTGAAAGGTAGTGGTAGTCCCCCGTGTCCCTGCCATGGCATGATGGTGCCCGTGACCCTCCTGGCTGTCAGAGCAGGGCATGTGCTCTCCCGGGCGCCCGGCGTCCTGGCGGGCCCTCCCCTTGGGGTCGTGCTCACGTAGGACCTGCTGTGTAGTCTTCATGTGGAATTTTGACGATTCTGCTTTCCTCTGCTAATCTTTAAGTGTGGAGTGATTTGTGTACTTGTGTCTTTCTAACTTCTAATAAACTCACCCCAACTGACCTGTGTCTTGGTGTCTGTCTGCCTCGTAGAACTTCTCACGCTTTCCATGGAATGCGGCCTTGCCGGAGCTTCTACAGGGGGAGGGGTGGGGCTCCTGCTTATCTAACCAGGTGGTTCCTTCTGAATAAAATCTGCTCTGTACACGTTTTCACTTTTAAGTGTTTGATTTTCACGTCCAGATCCTGCCACGGGTTTCAGTTATTAATGTCTGAGTCAAGAACGGGAGAGCTGGGGGCACTTGACTTGTTTCCTACCGGGGTCTAAGGGCTTTTAGTTATGTGTATAGGATGAATGTTTTGTTTACCTTCCCCACTACTTTTATAATCAGCATGTAATAAAACAGTCCTTTAAAACTGAGCGAAGCAGCAGTGTATCTGTCGCACGTAGATGGAACTGTTAAAAGGCAGCTGCCTGTGTCAGATCTGCGTGGTTCGGGTCCTGTACCGTTATGTGGACCCAGCGCCTCCATATAGAGTTTGATTTTGGTGCTATTTCTAGAAGCTGCCTTAATTTCCTTGAGACTTTCTGTGTATCTTTTGTTTCAAAACAGTAATGTAATTAATTTTCCTTCGGGGATTTTATTACTTTTATTTGAATAAGCTTTTTCATGTTCAGACGTTTTCATATTCTTTGGGTTATCTTTAATGAAATTTAAAAAAGGAAGACTTCTGTTTGAATTGTATTTGCATACATGGTAAATTGGTAATTTCCATAGGACTCATATAACCAGCAAGTCGCAGACCAGCAGGTCGACCATGGTGAGGATTCTTGGAAGGAGAACCCCCTGCAGCTTCACATTTGTTCACGTTTCTTTCAGGATGGCACTGGATCTTTAAAACGCAGTGGTTCCTTTAGCAAACTCCGGGCTTCAATTAGACGCAGCAGTGAGAAGCTGGTTAGGAAGCTGAAGGGAGGAAGTTCACGAGACAGTGAACCAAAGAACCCCGGGTAACTATCTCCAGCCTGCGCGCCCCCTGCCCCGCCCACGCCCGCCTCACCCATTGGCTTCAGCACACATTCCAGCCTGCGCCCCACGTGGTAGCCGTGGAAAGGTTTAGTAGTTGCAGTCTAATTATTTGCCAGGACAAGTTGAGAAATAATTGTGAAATTTCCTGTTAGAAGCTAAAAGAGCTGAAGGCTTTAAAAAAATGTATGGAGTTCTTTAGTTTTGTTTCGTTACATGTTCAAAGAAAGCCTTAGCAGTGAAAATTAAGAATTTAATATTAAAATACTGAGCACACTAACTTTTCTCTTAACATGTGTTATTCATTTTTAAAGCCAGTTTTAATCTTTTGAAATCAAATGCCAGCTGAGTATATTAAATCCCATCATACAGGTATTATTATAGGAAGAAGATGGTTTGACAAGACTTTTTGTTAATGAGTTTCTTTTGGAGATTTAAAAAACCTTAGCTTTTGCCATGTGTTTAGAAAAGGGTCTCAGTGATGAATCTTTTAGGGTCTTTGGAACAAAAGCTTTTAAGTTGTCAGAGGAGTTTGGCTCTGAGATGCTCCTTGTCGTTTATGAGGGTCCTCAGAGGGGGGCTCTTTGCCCTTCTCTGTTAGGTGCTCACAAGTCGCCTGGTTTCTGGGTTACTTGGTGTAAACGGCTCCCTCTTTCTGGGCATTTCTTCCAGAAGCACTGTGCTGTGCTGACAGCTGGGCTGTGAAACTCAGTCTCCCTAAAACGGTACCTGCTTTTTAAATGTTGATTCTCAGCATGACTCAGTTGTAAAGCATTTCACGCTGTGCTGACCCGTTGCTCCTTTGGGTGCCGTGTGGGGATGTGAAGCTGTGTTCCTTTGCTGTCGGGCACGTCCCGTCTCGTTCCTCCGTCCTCGGGGAGGGCCCGAGTCCCGAGACCACTGGTGTCGCCCAGCCCCGCCTCGGGCCCGAGCCTTGCTGGTGGGGAGGGGGCCCGCCTCAGCTCTGCCCGCACGGTGTGGCTGGTGGCGGACTTGCTTTGGAGGCCAGAGGGACGGCTGGATTTCTGCCCTGCTGCTCAGCAGTGTCTGCAGCCACGTCTGCCCAGGGAGCCGTGTGCGAGCCACCGCCGTCCGCTGTGAAGCCGCCGCAGGGCTTGGACGCGGGGCTGTCGCGCTGGTGGCGGTCTGGCCTGCAGGAGACAGGCGCGGCTAGGCAAGGAGGTCCTGAGGGGCCCCCGTTTGACTTCCAGAACTAGAACGATGGGGTGCTGCCTGCCCCTCCGACGTTTGGAAGATTGAGCCTCTTGTTCCCAACGCTGGGAGGGCTGAACCGCTTGCTGGGTGCCGGCCGAGTCCGCTCCTTCCGCAGCTGGCTCTGAGGCGTGCAGGGACCGCCCAGCATGCCCTCGGTGTCCACAGGCCGCCCCTGGGCGCACACGTTGGCCAGCTGAGGGTCTGGGCGTCTTGCGGCCCGCCTGTAATGTGGAGCCCATGGCTTGTTTCTGCTGTGGCGTGTGTGGCCACTCCCTGGCGCTCAGTGCTGGGCCAGCCTGAGGGAGGGCCTGGTGAGGATGGACCCCATGGAGCAGACTGACAGTCTTCACATGTAATGAAACTTGGGATGGCATCTTATGGAACTTTTTGAAAAGTAAATAATTTATGTTTATTCCATCAAATGCATAAGAGAAAGTAATCTTTCCAGATAAGAGGAACGATCCAGTTCACTGGATGCGTGGCTCTCCAACCCGAGCGGGCCGGGGCCCGACCTTGCGTTTCTGGTGGGCGGGGGGCACACGAGGGGGACTTGCCCTTCCAACAAGGGCAAGCACTGGTCGTGCCAGTGCCGCTGACCGGGCCACATTTGACAGAGAGGCACTGAGCCGGGGTTGTGGGAGCGGGGTCTTTGGCCTGCGGTGGGCACAGTCCAGGAGGGCCTGGATGCCTTGTCGTTGCAGACCCTGAGGGTTTAGGTCAGGCTGAGGATGCGGTTCAGAGGTGTTGACAGGCATCAAGTTATTCTTTCATCTCATCTTGTAGACAGAAGTTTGAGCACAAAGGTGGTGTATTTTTCTTAGAAAACGCTAGCTGGCCAGTTACATCAGAGAATCGTGAAGCGCGCCCAGATGTCCGTGCTTGAGATCGGGGTTGATTCTGCGCTGCGCCTTGCTCCTGAGAGGTTCTGGACAGAGGAAAAGCTGTGCAGGGCTCCGGGTTCCTGGGATGTTTCTGTCCTGTCCTGGGGGGGAGTTTGGGGAGCGAGTTTTACTTGGTGATCAGTCAGTTAAGGCTTTGTTTTTGGTGTAGTTTGTTCGGTGAGACCCCAGGACGTGCCTGCCATGTGCCTGGCACTCTGCCTGCGGCACTGGCGGCCACGCGGCCAGTTCCTGGGCCCCTGGGCCCTGCAGCTGGAGCGCCTGTGTGTGCGTGTACGCGTCTAGGTGTGCTCAGCCGCCACACCTGTGCTTCAGCCTCACGGCCATGCACTCAGCATAGTGGTCACTGTCGACGTCAACAGTTCAGATGCAGAATTACTGATACTATTAAAAACAATTAAAAATCACCCTTCATGTTGCTCCTTTTAGCTTTTAAAGCTAAGGTGACTTTTTGTTTGAGGTCATCCATAGTGGCAGTAAGCAATACAGTATCTTATAACTATCCATATTTTAAGTTTAGATTGTAGGTAATTTGCAGGATATATTAAGTATTTTAAAGGTGTCAAATTGAAGAAAAAAGTAAATATATGTGTAAATCACTATTTTGTGTAAATCCAAAGCCATTAAATTTGTTTTAAATTTTGGTTTCTGGGCAGAGAAACCCAAGCCTCAAAGTTTTACTAATAAAAGGTTATTTGTTTTTTCTTAGATTTAATATGGAAAAATCTATGAAATACATACTGCGTGCATGCATTTGATCTCAGTAGTGAGCTTTGTGGGGCCCTCTTTGGCGAGGTCGCTCAGGGCTGCATTTATGGGCCCACGGGCGGCACTGGCAGGGCCTCTCGGCTCCGGGAGGAGCCAGGCTTCAGAAAGGGAGGCTCTGAGGACGTTGAGGTTTATCCGCGGCATTCCAAGACAGGCTTTTTGACGAGGAAGGCGCAGAGAATCTGCGGTTTTTGTCTAACGGGTGCGGAATACAGTGTATCTGGGGCATCCACGTTGGGAACTGGGTGGGCCTCCCAGACAAGGCGAGTTGCAGGCCTGCTCCCGGTCAGGGATGGCCCAGGCCCCCGTGGTGATAGGCCGTGGAGGGATGGCTTGGCTGCGCTCCCCACTCCTGGTGACTCACCTGCTGATGGTTTGTCCTTGCATGTCCGCCGGGCCGGTGCAGCATGAAGCGAGCCAGTTCTCTGAATGTCCTTAACGTGGGTGGCAAGGCGGCTGAAGACCATTTTCAAGTAAGGAGCCCCACCCCGCTGTAGCATCCGTCACCTTCCGGACCGTGCTGGCGGGGCCTTGGCTCTGCACCACCGCAGCCTCAGCACAGCCTGTCTGTGTATAGCCTTCCTGATCCCAGACGAGCAGACATCATGATGTCGTTTTCACAGTCGGCACGGACTTAACCATCGAATGGTGGGAGTGCTCGCTTTGGGAACATTCTTTGCATATAAATGGTCTTCAAAATGTTGATTGACAATTAAAAGCTAAATGATAAAGTAATAACAAAATTTGACCAGCTGTTACTGTGTATTATTAGTTTCTGATTTTAGCCTCCAGCGGTGCCAGCGTGGGAAACTAATACATCTGGCTAAGCTCTTCCATGTTTTTAAATGACTGAAACTTGACTAAGATGAACACAGTCACTTTGTCACCTGGTCTTACACGAACTGGCCATCTTTGCATTTAAGACCGTTGGCATCCCCCTCTCCATCAGACGTGGCCTCTCTTGTCTTCCATGTGTGGCCGAGCCGGGCAGCTGTCCCCTGGACCAGGCATCCTGGGCACTGCACCTGGCTCCCAGTTGCCTCAGTCCCCCTGGTGACTGTGATGTCCTTAGGCGGTGGCAGGCCAGCTGGCGTGCTGACCCCTGCTTCCCCCAGCACCCGGGGTGACTGCACAGGCCTCTGGTCAGGGGTGTGACCCCCGATCTGTCTGTCAGGGGCTGCCTGGGGCCTGGAGGATGTGTTCCTGGTGAGGATGGTGAAGGAAAGCCCCTCTGTTTTCAGAAGGTCGGGAGCTGATACAGTCCTTCTGTCTGATTGTTGTTTCTTGCACATGCACGTCTGAGCGTCAGGACTCGTGACGTGAGTCAGCGCCAAGACCACGGGAGGCTGGTGTCTGTGAGGCGCTGGGGAAGAAGGACCTCTCCGTTTGTTCTCATGCAGGAACGAAGGCGTTGCCTGGCAGACTCGAGGGCTCCGAGTGCCAGGCCCCCGGGGAGGCAGAGCTAAATTAAGCCCCGAGGCTAATGTGCAGAGACCCTCAGAGCTTGGCCAGGGCCCTCCCCCTTCAGGGGCCACCGCCTCTGCTGAGTTCCATTAAGTTCTGCAGCCCTGGTGCCCAGGAGCTGCCACAGCCGACAGTGAGGCCGCTGCCTGCCGACTCCGCCCAGCTCTGAAACCTGCTTTCACTTGTTGTGCTGTGTTAAGGCTGCTCACGGAGACCGGCGCCTTAACCACGTCCTTGGAGAACGGGAATCGGGGATGGGGGCTGTGGGCAGGCCCCGCGCCAGGTTGCAGCCCCTTCGCACATGGAGATGCGTGTGTTCCTTTTAACAGCTCTTCTTTGTAGGGTTAAGTAACCCAGGGTGATTCTGACAGAGGCATCTGCAGATCAGCCCTGAGATTGCTGAAGGGAATCCTGACACGCCAGCTGGTTCGCTGAGGGTGACTCCAGATGACGCCCACTGAGCACGGGGCGCGCGCTCGCTGAGGGGCTGGGGGTGCGGGCGTCCTGGTGCCGTGGAGTCCAGGTTTAGTGCTCTTCCTGTTGATCCGGTGGGAGATGTCCCAGCAAAGGCGCTTCTAGCTGCCTTTCCTGCCCGAGCTGCGCTGGGTCAGGTGGTGGGGCTCCCCGGGGCTCCCTCTGGGGGTGCCCTAGCTGCACCTGTCCTTCACCCCAGCAGGGGGCAGGGCGGAGGCAGCAGCCCCCTGGGGTCGTCGTGGCAAGGTGGGGCTTCAACTTCGGGGGTTTTTCTAATCGAGGAACGGGCCACCCCTGCACGGGCCTGCTTGTGAGCGCCGTGGCCCCGGAGGCGGGGGGCCGTCAGGCTGGGGCTTCTGACACCGCCGCTCAGCGGTCAGGACGTTTCTGAGTGCTCCCTGGAGGTGCGTTAAAGGAAGGGGAGAGGAAGGCAGAGCCGTGTCCCCACGCGGGCACTGTGGCCCCTTCAGGTGCCCGTTTAGGTGGGGGCAGTGTGTCTGTCACCTCACCGCCCAGGGCGGGGCCACAGCGTGGTCCCAGCTCCTGCCTTCTTGCGTTCATGTTTTCTCCCAGCTGTGGAGCTGGTACAGGACGTGTGAAACCACCCAGGTTCCCTTCATGACCGTTGTCTCTAGAAAAACAAAGGGCATTCAGAAAGAGCGAATGTGGGGCTGAGGCCAGAATGCTCCCAGCTGGTGGAAACTGACCTCCCCTGCAGGGCCCTTGGTTGGCCCTGGCCTGGCGTGGAGCCCGCTGGCCCCTTTCCTGGGGGTGTGGTGGCTTCTGCAAGGCCGCCTAGAGGCAGTGTTTTCGGTGAGCGGGGCCAGGCTGCTAAGAGCTGGCCTGTTCAGCGGGGAGGTGCCCTGTTCTGGTCTTTGAGGGAAGCCCAGTGTAATCTCAGAGGGCAGCTGGGGGCCCAGCCTGCCTGCCTGCCCGCCCACCCTCCTTTCCTGGTGAGGGGACCCTTGGGGGCCAGCACCCGTTTCTCGATTGTTTCTGACGAGTCAGACTCACCGCAGCCAGAGCCCAGGCTGTGGATGGTCTGAGCATCCGCAGGAACGTGAGGGTAGGGCTGTGTCAGGGCAGAGGTCGGGAGGACCCCAGCCTTCTGCCCCTCCCCTGGGTGCTGCCGGGATTCACCTAGTTATTTTCTGAAAGTTAAAAGTATTCCTTTGGTCAGAAGACGGCTGGGAATAGCACGTACCAGTCAACATCCTCTCAGGGAAGTAGCAGCCTCCCCGAGGAGTCGGTTTACGGAGTGCGGCTCTCGTCGGTAGACTTTATACGAGACCCTGGGAAGGCCTGCTGTCTGTGTGGGGCCAGCTTCTGATGGGTTTCTGTTTGCGCTTGTGTTTGGGTCGCCGGGCACACACCCTCCATGGAATCCCCGACACAGATGCGTGTGTTTTCATGCAGCTTGCCAGCACGGCAGGGGACGCGGGCAGTTCACAGTGTGGAGCCAACCCTCGGGGTCGTGGGCCTGCGAGGGTTAGGGTGTGGGCTGGGGACAGGCAGGCGGGCTCCTTCCTGAGACACGGAGGGGAAGCCCCACTGCAGAGTCCCGGGGCCTGCGGCAGCGCGCGTGCTGGGCGGCACCTCCGGCGTGGGTCGGCCTGCCTTCTGACGGGGCGGCCATTCTCGATCTCTCTTCTCACTGTGGGTGTGACTTGACTAGGAAATCATTTGGAACTGTCCATAGTTAATTACAAAAATGAACTTTTATTTCCTGTTGTAAAGTCCCTGTACTTTGCAGAAAGGCTCTTCTGTAAAACTCCAAGCCTGAAAGAAGCTTTTTCTATTTAACACTAGCCACTCGGTCTTTTAGGGTCACAGGCTACTTTGAAAACATGATGAAAGCTGGAAATGGATCATCCTGTCCTAGGAAAACACACACACACAACAGAGTGCCGATGGCCAGGGCTGGCGGGCCCGGGGCGCGGTGGGGGTCAGCCTGCACCCCGCCAGCAGAGTGGCCGTGGGGGGTGGACGTCCGGCGGGGGAGGCCCAGCACAGAGCCAGAGCTGCTGAGGGCCCGGGGCGGCAGGCCCCTTCCCTCGGCGCGTTTGTCCACAGCTGCTGGGCCGGCCGCCTGGCGGAGGTGGGCGGGGGCGTGGCGAGGGTGACTCAGCCCTTTCTGGAACTGGGCCTGCGTGTCCTCGGTGCTTCCACGTGGGATGGTCATGGCCGAGTGGACCAGAGGGCCCGTGTTCTGTGCAGAAGCGCCGGCCGTGGTGGGGAGCTGGGTCTGGGCAGCAGTTCCTGCCAGAGTGGACCCCCCCTTCCCCCCAACAAGGCCAGGACCGAGGTCCCAGCCACCGCAGCACACCGGGAGCTGCTGCCCTTGTAGACGAGTCCTCATGGGCCCAGAAGGGCTTTCTGCAGACGGGCTGAGCTGCCTCCTCCAGCAGGGGCAGCTCGGCACCCCGAGGGGGGTCCTGGACCCCGCGGTCAGCCGCACAAAGTCCCAGGCGTCCCCCGCACGCCCTCGGCGGTGATGGCGTAGGAGCAGGATGAGGGCGGCAGGTGGGGGGCAAACACCACCCTGAGGGTGCGGCCAGGCGGGCCGAGCGCGGCCTCCTCGGGGCGCTGCCGGTCGGCCAGCAGCCTCACGAGCAGCTGGTTGGCCCAGGTTATTCCCAGGGCTGGGGACATCCTGAGACGGGAAACACCGCCACGCGTCACCTGCAGAACCAGCGCCTCCCTCCCACCCCCGCCCCCAGGGCTCCCAAAGCCCTCCGTCCTTAGGGCGTCACTCACCCTGGCAGCCCGGCCACTGAGTCCTGCTCCTCCATGGCCTCTGTCACCTGGAGGGTGTAGAGCTGTCAGCGATGGGACCTGCTGGCCCGGCCCCGCGGGGGCTGGGGGAGGCCCACCTGGTTGATACACAGCACGGGGCTCCGGAAGGCGCAGCTCAGCCGCCGCAGCTCGGCTCCCAGCGCCAGTAGACGCTGGGCCCTGAGGGCCAGGGCCGCTCCGTCGAACTCGCAGCGGAAGGGGGCTGCCACGGAGTCGACGACCACCAGCCGGGCCATGCCCCGCGCCAGCAGCACTGACACCTTCTCACTCACGCAGTGCAGCAGGGTGTCCTGGGGGCCAGGGAGCCCGTCAGCGCCTGCTCAGAGCCCCCGTCCACCCTGCGCACCCCCCCACCATGGCCCCGAGCCAGGCGCTGCCGCCTGCACCCAGCGACATCGCCAAGGCTGACCTGTCGCCACCCCGGCTACCTACACCCAGCCGGGGGGCGCGGCACGGGGCCTGAGCCATCCTGTGTCCGGCGTGCAGACCCCCGGGCTGGGCCCAGGCTACACGCCACGACGCCAAGCGGGGCCCTTAGCACTGTTGGGAGCAGCCGTCTTCGGGAACCACCCCCGCCGGGACTCCCGGGAGCTGCCCGTGCCCGCGTCCCCGCCCTGAGTGAGGATCTGCTCTGTGCTTCACCCGCAGGGCGCCACCGGCAGAGCCCCTCTCTGTGGACAACGACAGCAGCAGCAGCGGCCTGGAGGACGCCAGCCTGAGCGTGAGTCCCGTCACCCAGGGCGGGGGGCTGCAAGGGCGGGACTCTCCCCGGGGCGGCCGGGCTTGAGGCCCCGCCCCCGGGAGGCCTGGGCCACGAGGCTGGTGCACAGGGGCGGGGCTCGGCGAGGGGCTGCCAGGACCCCGGCCCTGACCCGCCGCCCCCTCCGCAGTGAGGCGGCCGCGGAGGAGTCTAGCCTGAGCTGTGTGCGCACGCCGAGGGCCCGGTGACGCCGTGAAGGTCGCGAAGCTGGAGGGCCTGGGGCGGTGACTGCAGTGCTGACCAGCGCCCTGACC